CGAGCGGCGAACGTCGCGATCGCGCCGTCGCGCGATTCGCCGTTGACGTTGACGTACATCGACCAAGTCCCGGGCCGCGGGAGGGAGAACTCCAACCCGTACGTCCCGTCGCCGTGGTCGACAACGTCGGCGTCGGCGGGGGGCGGCGCGCCGCCGCGGCGCTCGTGCCGCGCGTCGTCGGCGTCGTCCGGGTCCTCCTCGGTAGGGACAAAGAACAGACGCGCGAGGACGCGGTCGCCGCCTTCCAGGCACGCGTTGCCGTGCGCGTCGTGCGCGACGAAGCACGCCCTCGAGCGCTCGTTGACTTTCACGCCGTGCGCGAGCGCGTCGCCGCGGACGACGCAGCGCTCGGCGTCGGCGACGCCGGCGACGATTTGCAACGCCTTCGGCCAGCCCGCGACGTTTCGGCCGTCGATCGTGGTCTTGAAGCGATACGAACCGGCGCGCGCGAGCGTGCCCTTGAAGACGAGCTCGCTGCTCGTGGACGTCGTCACGTCCAGGGTGAGATCCACGGGGCCGACGGCGTCGCAGCGCACGCGTTGGCCTTCGCTCGAGGCGAAAGCCGCGAGGTTATCGAACCTGTCTCGCGCCTCCACGGCGATGGTGACCTCTTGCCCGGCGTCGCCGACGAGCGTGCTCCCGCCCACGCGCCCGCGCTTCTCGCGCAGGCCGTGGATGCGAACGGTGGACTTCCCCGCGTCCGCGACCGAGGGTTTGAGCGCGACGCTCTTGAGCGCGGCGGAGCCGGGGAGGAGGTCGAGCGCGCGCGAGCCGTACGCGTCGGACGCGGCGTCGGCGGCGAAAATCGCGAGCTCGTACTCGCCCGCGACGGTCGCGCGGAACCGCGCGACGGCGAAATCGACGCCGTTCTCTTCCACCTCCGCGTCTGTGGGCTCGACGACTTCCGCTTCGACGTCGCCGGCGCCGACGCCGTCGGCGAAGACGACGAGCCCGTCGTCGCCGCCGCCGCCCCCGCCGCCGCCGCCGCCGTGCCGCTTCTTTGATCGCTTCCCGGCGCTCGCGCCGCCGCCGCCGCCGCCGCGAGCGAGCATCGTGACGTTCCCGAACCGGTCGCGGCGGCGCACTCTCACCTCGAGCCACGACCCCGCGGTCCACTTCTCGAGATCCTCCTCGCTCGGGGCGATGATCTCGCACGACGGAGGGTCCAGCGTCGTCGGGACGCACTCGATCGGAAACGAAATTTCCTGCCCCGCCGTCGTCAGCACGACTCGGTACGTCCCCGCCCGCGTGAGCGCGTACGTCGCGTCGTACGTCCCGTTCCCGATGTCGACCATCTCTCCACCCTGCGACGTCGCCACGTGCCCCTCGAGCACGGGGAACCCTTCCTCGTCGTCGGACGCGTCGCGCGACGCATCGGGCGCCGTCGCCGGCGCCATCGCCATCGCCGTCGCCGTCGGAGTCGCGTCGTCGCGTTCCGGCTCGAAGATGGCGAACCGCACGCGCGCTCCGCCCCGCTCGATGCGCCCGCCCCCCGGGTTGGCGCTGATGAGCGAAAACTTCGCCTCCGCGCCCGCGACGCACTCGGACGCGTTCGTCCCCGCGATCGTGGACAACGGCAAGCTGACGACGCCGCGCGCCTTGGCCATCGCGACGAGCTCGCCGCTTTTGAGCAGCCCGAGGAGCACCTCCGCCACCGCGGGGGGCAGCGCGGCGACGACGCGGTCGGCGCGGTCCGCGTCCATGTCGTCCAACACGCTCGCGACGAACGTCATGTCCATCGACCCGGACGCGATGATCGCCGCGAACTTCTCGGGGGCGAGCCACCCTGCGAGCGTCGCCGCGAGCTCGAGCGGGTCCATCTCCATCATCGCGGCGCCGGCGTTGAACGGGTCCATCTCGGAGATGATGGCGACGAGCCTGAGCTTGAGCTCCGTCTTTGCGCGCGTCTGCGTCTTTTCGTCGAGGACAGTCTCCACGACGGCCGCGAACGCGGAGGCGACGTCCTTGGGCTCCATCGCGTCGCACGCGGCGGACCCGGCGGCGAACTCCATCCGCACCATCATCATCGCGCGCTTATTCGTCGGCATCGACGCGAGAATCTCGCCGACGACGGTGGCGTCCGGCATCCTCGACGCCAAAATCGCGCTCTCGCTCGGCGGCAAATTCCCCAACACGCGCGCGGTGAGCGAGTACTCCATCGCCGCGAGGACGACGACCGCTTGGTCCGGGTACGCGTCGCTGTTGTCGTCCACGACAGCCATGGACAGAAATACGTCCACGACGGCGTCCGTCTGGACGTCGGCGCGCGTCTCCGGCGCGTCCGGCGCCCACCCGGTTTCGTCGAGTTCCTCCGCCATCGCCGCGCCGAACGCGCCGTTGTACCCGGAGAGCTCCACCACGGACGCGAGCGCGCGCGCGCTTCCGCCGGGGCCGAGGAGGCACAGGATGTGCCCGGCGAGCTTCGCGGACATCTTCGGCAAGACCGCGCCGGCGATACCGGAGGAGGCGGCGGGGATCGAACCGCCGCCGCCGCACAACGACCCGACGAGCTTCGCCAGCCGCGGCCCGGTGCCGCCAACCTCCCCGCCCACGAGCTCGTCCACAGACGCCTGCGACATCGCCGCGAGGTGCGACGCCACCTTCTCGAGCATCGGGCGCTCGGCGAGCGTCACGAGCGCGAGCGTCGAGCGCTTCGGTCCCTCTGGGGTGAGGTCCTGGAGCGCCCTCAGGAGCGGCCCGCCCGTCTTCTTGGCGTCGACGACGGCGAGGACGCGCTCCAAAAACTCCGGCGGCATCAGCAGGCACGCGCGCGCGGCGGCGTCGGGGTCCATGTGCGCGACAGACTCGACCGCGGCGTCCGGGTCGGTGTTCCACAGATCGCGCAGGATCAGATCGTGCGCCTCTTGCGCGGACATGGACGACAGCAGCGCCCCGCGCGCGTTCGCCGGCATGTTCGCGAAGACGTCGAGCCGCGTCTTTTTGTCCATCGCGCGAAACGTCGTCGTCACCTCCGTCGTCGTCATACAACACATCGCCGCCGCCGCCGCCGCGGGGTCCATCGCGGACAGCGCGCCGACGCGCTCGGCCATCGGCATCTCGTTGAGGACGCCCGCCGCCGCGGCAGGGCGCATGTCCTCCATCGCCTTCGCGACTTGCGACGCGTCCAAACCCTCGAGGGACTTGGCCGCGCGTTGCGCCGCCGCGCGCGACGGCCGCAGCCCTCCGCCGCCGAATTCAAACGCGGCGTCCTCCTCGGCGTCCTCGGATGTGACTTCCGCGATTTGGGCGACGTCGAGCTCGGCGCCCTTGAGGAGGCCGATGCCGTCGGAATCTTCGTCGTCGATCACCTCCGCGGTCTCGACGATTTCCGTCGTATCTTCCTCCTCGAGCCACCCGTTGGCGTCTCGCACGCGCACGAGCCGCGGGACGTCCGGAAGCGGCACGCCGTTCAACGTCGCGCGGACCAAGTGACGCCCGGGCTCGACCCAAAACGCCGGGGATTCGAACCGTCGCGTCTCCGCGTTGAACCGCACGCGGTTGTTGTACGTCAGACCGCTCGGCGTGCTCACGCTCACGACGACGGCTTCGCGACCGGTCATGACGCGAATGGCGTCCGTCGGCTGAATCACGCACGTCGTCGCGTCCCCCAGATTAACGACGTCCTCCGCGCCTCGAAGCGCGCACTCGCTCGATCGCAGCGGGCCGAGCGTAGGAGACAGAAAGTACCTCGCGAGCGCCGCCTCGTCTTTGCATCGCAAGCCGTTGATCGCGACGATGAGGTCGTACTGCGTGAGTTCCTCCAAGATGATCTTCGCGCGGTACGAGCCGTCGCCGGCGTCGTCGACGGCGGCTTCGCGTCGCCCGCCTTCGTTCGCGGGCGCGCCGAAGAGCTCGACCAAGTCGCCGCCCACCGCGCGCGGGTTCCCGTACGCGTCGTGCGTCTGAAGGAGCAGCTCGACGGGCACGCCCGTGGTGCAGTGCCCTAACCCGTCGCCACTGATGGTCGTCTTGCACGGATCCGGCGCGCCGGCGACGACGCGAACGAGCCGCGGCCACCCCGCGCAGGAGCAGTCGCCGACAAGCGCCGCGACGCTGTACGCCCCCGCCGCCGTGAGCGTGGACTTGAACGACCCGACGTCCTCCATGGGTTCAAACCCCACCTCGACGGGGCCGCGCGCGGCGGCGAGGATTCGCTCGCCGCCGGTCCAGGACGTCTTGTTGCCGAACGAGTCGCGCGGTAAGACGCGAACGATCACGACGTCGCCGGCCATGATCGTCGCCGGCGCGGCGACGTCGACGTCGTCTGCGTCCGCGTCCGCTGTATCCAAGTCCTCCTCCTTCCCCCCGATCGGCTCCTCGATCGTCTCGCCCGTCTCTTCGTCCACGGTGAGCAGCGCCATCCGCGCGACGCACGCGCTCGGGAACGTCGGCCCGGGTTCGAGCGTCACTTGGAAAGAGCCGACGACGGCGCGGTCGTCGGGGTCGTCGGACGCGTTGGGCGGGTACTTGATCGCGATGACGCTCACGTCGTACGTCCCCGCGGTCGCCGCGCGCAGCCGAACCTCCCAGGACCCGTCCCCGAGCTCGACGTTCTCGCAGTCGCACGGGCCAGGGCCTTCGACCTCCGCGCCGAGGCGGTTCAGACGGCCGCGGTTCTTCGTGAGGTTTCCGAACCGATCGCGGCGCGCGACGCGCACCGCGCCGGGGGCGCCCGCGACCCACCGCGCCATCATCTTCGCGGCGTCGACGTCGCAGTCCGGCGGGGACATCGGGCCGGCGTGGCACGGAATGGGGATCGTCCGCGTCGTCGGGTGATCCGGCTTGTTCAGGATGATCGCGATCTCCATCTGCCCGGCTTTCGTGACCGTGTACGTGAACTCGTACGTGCCGTCGCCGTAGTCGACGGTTTTTCCGAGGATCACTTCCCCGTCGGGCGTCCGCGCTTCCAAGAGCAACGGCGCGCCGCCGCGGTTGATTCGGTTCCCGCCGTAATCCCTCGCCTCGCACGTCACCGTCGCTTCCTCGCCGGCGACGCAGAACTCCGCGCCGCGGCCGCCAAACGTGGACGACGTGAGGGACACTTCGAGTCCCTCGGCGGTGACGTACATCGGCGTGCCCGGGACGTGCTCGCCGTCGAGCATGACGGAGACGCCGTACCGCCCCGGGTATAACCACTGCACGTCCGCGACGTAGGACTGCTTGTCCTTGGTCATCGCGCACGGGATCGCCTCTTGAACGCCGGAGGGTTGGAGAAGTCGAACCGTCACGGCTTCGCCGCCGGTGAGGAGACGACCGGACTCGCGGAACCCGACGCCCTCGATGACGAGCTTCGCCGTCGAGCCAATCTCGTAGACGCCGTCCGCGTCCTCGATCGACGGGATCAGCCGCGCGCTCGCTTCCTCCGCGGTGAGTCGGCCGAACAACACCGTGAACGGGATGCCGCCGTCCACGGTGGGCTCGCCGTTCACCATGACGAGTATGTTCCACCGCCCCGCGGTCGGGGCGACGAACTCTAACCCGTACGTCCCGTCGACGTTGTCGAGCACGCGCGCGTCCCGCGCCTTGACGCCGTTCGGACCGGTGACCTCTATCGACACCTCGTCCTCGCCCTCCAAACGCAAGTTGCCGTACATGTCCGCGGTCTTGAGCACGAGCTCGACCCTATCGCCCGTGCGAACGGTCTCGAGGAGATTAACGCTCAGGCGGCACATCGGCGTGTGCGTCGGCCCAGCGATGACCTGCAACGCGCGCCACGACACCGCGAGAGAATCCGCGAGCACCCTGAGCTCGAACGTCCCGGATCGAATCATCCGCGCGACGTAATCCTCCCTGTTGCCCGTGGCGCCGGTGACGTTGAACGCGACGTACTCCGTGCCCCTGGCCTCGACTTCGATGTGCTTGTCCTCTTCCCAGAAGCTGCGGTTCCCGTATCGATCTCTCGCTTGGATTTGCACGAAGATTTCATCCCCGGCGTGCACGATCCACGTCTCCCCCGCCCTCGTCGCGCCGACGACGATCACGTCCACGTTCGTCGGCTCCGCGTCCGCGGCGCCGAGCTCGAGCTCGAAGATGCCGTTCGGAAGCGGGAACATCGTGTTCGCGCGGAAGCCGAAGAGGTCTCTGTTCAGACGCACCGGGTCGATGAGCGAGTCATCAACCTTGGAGACGCCGTCTCGGCGGTCTCCGTACGCGTCGAAGCCCTCCGCGTCGATCTCGCCGTTTAAGAGCGCCTCCTCGAGCTCGGCTTCGGTCTCGTAGATTTGATCGGCAGAGTCTCGCTTCGCGCGAGTGTCCTCGTCCTCGACGAAGACGCCGACTTGGTACGACCCGGCGACGGTCGCGAAGAATCGAATCTCGCACGTCCCGTCCCCGAGTTCGGAGACGTCGACGGCGACGGCGCCGGGACCGCGGCCGCCGCCGGCGAGCCGCGCGAGGCCTTCCCTGCGCGGGACCCGGTTACCGTACGCGTCCACGCGAACGACCGTCAGCGCGACGGTCCCGCCGGCTTGCCATCGCGTTCGGAGCGCGCCCTCGACCCTGCACGCGTTGTAATCCACCGCGCCGGCTTCGCACGTCGCGCGAAACGTAATCGTCTCCGTGCCACGGAAAAACGAAACCTCAAACGGGCCGGCTTTCGTGACGACGTACGACGCCTCGTACGTCCCGTCGCCGTTATCGACGACCGTGCCTTTCGTCGTGACGCCGCCGACGCGCGTCGCGACTTGGAAGTTCGCGCCGCCCTCGAAGAGACGGTTCCCGCGCGAGTCCCGCGATTCTATGAGCGCCAACGCCGGCTCGCCCGCGATCGCCGTCTCCAACCCGGCGCCAGACAGCCGGCTCATCGGAAGCGACGCGTCCAACGCCTCGACGTCCACGAACAGCGGCGAACCGGCGATGCTCTCGCCGTTCATCGTCGCGACGATCTCGTGCGTGCCCACCTCCCACCATCTGACGCTCGCGCGGTACCGCCCGCCGCTCTCGGTGAACGACGTCGGAACCGCGTGCGACGTCCCCGACGGCGCGACGACGTGCACGGAAATCGCCTCTTGCCCGCGCATCCCCCTGCCGGTGACTTCGTACTCCAGCGATTGCACGTACACGTCGTTGACGGCGCCGCAGACGACCGCCGCGTTCCAATCGGATCCGACGCCTACGTCCGAGCCGCCGCCGCCGCCGAAAGCGGCGGCTAAGCCCGGGCCGGGGCGGAGCGCGACGTCGCGCGGCCGCAGCGGACCGTACGTCGCGACAATCTCCGACGTGCTCTCCTTCGCGACGCGACCGTTCACGACCGCCTGCGCGATCCACCGCCCGACCTCGTCCAGGATGAACGTGCACCCGTACGTCCCGTCGTCGTGGTCGACGACGTCGATCGTCGCGAGGCGCGCGCCGGAGGGCGCGGTGAGCGACACGTCCACCTGGTCGCCGCCGACGTGACAGGGGTTGCCAAACTTGTCCTCCGTCTGCACCGTGACGTGCGCGGGGGCGTCTCTAAACACCCCCGCGAGCGCGTCGCCCCGGATGGACGCGCGCGACGTCTCGCACTGCCCGGGGTACACGACGAGCGCGATCGGGGAGGAGGCGATCTCGAGGTCGTCCACGGCGACGGCGACGAGATATGACCCCGCGCGCGGGACGACGCCTCTGAGCTCCGCGCGCCCGCCGCCGACGTCGATCGCGTCGAACGTAAACTCGCCGCTGCCGCCGCTGCCGCGCGCGACCGCGGTCGCCTTTTCGCCGTTCCACGCCGCGGCGTTCCCGTGGCGGTCGCGCGCGGAGACGTGGCACGTGATCTCCTCGCCCGCGATCGCGACGGTGACGCCGTGCGTCGCCGCGCGGGCGCCCGCGGCGTCTCCGGCGGACGTCTCCGTCGCCAGCGAAGCCGTCGACCCCACGTGCGACACCGGGCCGGGCCTCAGCACGACGTCCAGCGGCATCCCGGGCAACGGCTCGCCGGTGTCCGGGGAGACGACGGACACGGAGTAAATTCCCGCGATCGTCGTCGTGAACTCGAACCGCGAGACGCCGTCGGCGGTGACGGTCGGCTCGATCGCGACGCCGCCCGGTCCCTCCGCGCGTCCTTCGAACGCGAACAGCGCCTTGTCCGCGTGGACGACGTTCCCGAACGCGTCTCGCATGAAGACGTCCAAGACTCCAGGCTCGCCCGCGCTCCACGCGCTCGCGATCGCGGTCGCGTCGTACTCCGTCATCGTCGCCACGGGCTCTCCGGGTTCGATCTCGATCAGAATTTCCCTCGACTCCGGCCGGTCGAGCTCCGCGGACTGCACCTCGAGCGTTATCCTGCACGTCCCAGACACCGTGGGCGTGAACCGCACGTCGTACTCCCCGTCGCCGTTGTCCGTGACGACGCACGGCTCGCCAAAGTCCGCCTTGGGGTGCCCGATCGGAGGGGAGACGTACGCGGTGAGCTCGGCGCCGCCGTGACGTATGCGGCCGCCGCCTCGTTCCCTGGCGACGAGCTTGAACGCGTACTCCGTCCCGCACGCGGCGGCGTCGACGTTCTCCGTCGCGATTGACTCGCTCGCGACGTCGCTGCCGAGCATCGCCTCGGGGAACATGACCTCCGAGGCGATCAGGCTGATCGTCGCTCGCGACGCGACGCGCGATCGCAACTTTGAGTTTTTGATAAACCCGAAAATTTCCTCCACGCGCTTGTCCAGGGTGTTGATGCAAATCTCCGTCGCCAAATCCAGGGGCATCGCCTCGAGCATCCCCGCGGCGTCCTTCGCGGACATGTTGTTCATGTATCGCACGCACGCGGCGATCAGGTTCGGGTGCGAGTGCCCCTGCCCGAGCTCGCCCTCCGCGCGGTCCGCCTCCATGATCGCTCGGACTTGGTCCGGATCTAATCCTTCGAAAGCCGCGGCGCACGATCGCACGTCCAGGTCGCTCAGCACGAGCGCGGTCATCTCGGACGTGAGGTGGTTCACGCAGCAGATGCCGAGGTCGCGCAGCGGCTTGACGTGCTTCAGCACGTACCCGGGCGCGCCTTTCAGGATCGCAAACTTCTCGGGTCGCGTGAGCTCAAACTTTCCGTCGGTCGCGTTTAACGACGCGACAATCACGGAGAGCGCCGCGCCGACGCGCGTGGACGGCTTGTACGACTCCTGAAGCAGCGCGACGACCTCTATGGACTCTCGCGCGAGCTCCGCGAGCGCGCGCGCGAGCTGCTCGGGCGTGAAGTGCATCATCATGCGCATCATCTCGTGCCCGCTGAAGTCTGCGAAAATCGCTCCGGCGACGCCCTTCGGGCAACAGTCGACGAGCTCCGCCGCGACTTCTTTCTGCTTCTCCATCGGAAGTTCCCTCAGCAACTGCGCGGCCGCGGAGCGCGCGCCCATGGACATCGCCGCGATCGTCTCGTCCAGCTTCTGCGCGTCTAAAATCGCCCCCGGCTTTGGCGTCGCCTTCTCTTTTTTCTTGCTCTTCTTTCCCTTCTTCCCCTTGGCCGGCTCCGGCTCCGGCGCCGCCGCCGCCGCCGCCTCCGCCGCCGCCGCGGCGTGCCTGATGTGCCCGCCCGCGGGCTCCGACAGAAGCGTGTACAGCGTCCCACCGAGGTCTTCGGCGGCGTGCGCGCTCACCGCGGTCGCGAGCTTCTCGGGGTGCAACCTCCCCAACGCGGGGCCGATGCGTCGCGCGCGAATCACCGCAGCCTCTTTCTCCGCGTCGCGCTCCTTCGCCGGGAGGTGCTTGTCCTCTTTGTACTGCTTGTACAACCCCTTCGTGAGCGCGAAGACGGCGTAGTCGTCCATCGTCTTCATGAACTCGATCTGCAGCATCGGATCCATCTGCGCGATGACCGCGGCGGCTTTGTCCGGGTTCATCCGTCGCAGCAACTCCGCGCCCTCTTCCGTGGACATGCCGTCGACGGCTCGAGAGAGCTTCTCGGTGGCGACGCCGTCGAGAATCTTCGCCGTCGCGTCCGCGTGCGCGCCGCCCTGCTCCTCCGAGCGCGCCATCGCGGACAACAGCGTCCCGAGGTCGGCGTCGTTCATCTTGTTCATCGACCGCGCGATCGCGGAGCTCTTCTCGCGCAGCGCGTCGCCGGACATGTTGGACAGGAGCGCGCCCACGTCCGCCGGATCCATGCTCGCGAGAATCGCCTCCGTCCGCTCCTCCGTCATGCCCTCCACCGCCGCCGCGGCGTGATCCCGCGGCAGCGAGTTCAAAACCTGCGACACCGCGGACGGGTACATCCCGTTCAACATCTTCGTCGTGCTCTCCGCGCTGTACCCTTCCAAGGACTCCGCCGCGCGCGTCGGCGGCATCGACGCGAGCGCCTGCGACGCCGCCTCCGGCTGCAGCCGCACGAGAAACGCGCTCACCTCGCTCGACGACATGTCCTCCAGCTCCCTCAACTCCGGGAGCGCGTTCACGATGTCGATCGTGAACGGGCTCCCGATGACCGCCTCCTGGTCCAGCGACACGCTCACGGTGTGCAGACCAGCCTGCGTCCATCGATACGACCCGTGGTACCGCCCTTCTCTGAACGTCACGTCCACGGCGCTGATCCCGCCGGATGGCGTCAGCACTCGCACGCCAACCGCCTCGGACCCGGTCATCCACCGATTCAAGCTCTCGTACGCGCTCGCTTGGACGACGACGTCGCTGGACGTCATCACGCTCGTCGCGTCGAAGGAGGAGGAGGAGGAAGATCCGCCGGATCCGCCGGTCCCGGGCGCACCAGGGTCCACGCCGAACCCGCGGAAGACGACGTCGTGCGCGAAACACGGACCGAACGACGCAACCACCTCCGCGACGTCCCCGGCGCCCTTGACGCCGTTGACGGAGACGGAGAGCCCCCACACGCCGGCTTTGTCGAGCGCGAACGACGCACCGTATGTGCCGTCGCCGTGGTCGACGACGACCGCGGAGACGGTGCCGACGCCGTCGGGGGACAGGAGCGACATGTCGACGAGGTCGCCGCCTCTGGCGAGGAGGTTGCCGTGGCGGTCGGCGGCGTGAATGGTGAGCGTCGACGTCGCGTTGGCGTCGACGCCGTCGAGCGCGTCGCCGAAGAGGACGCACCGCAGCGGGTGCGCGGGGCCGGGGGTGATCTGCAGCATCCGGGGGTACCCCGCGAGGTGATCTTTGCCGATCCTCGCGTCGAGGAGGTACGACCCCGCGCGCGAGAACGTCGCCTGAAGCGTCGCCGGGGAGAGCGCCGATTTGGCGTCGTTTTCGAAAATCACGTCGTCGGCGTCGGACTTCGTCCACCCCTTGTCCCCGCCGCGCGCGCTCGCGGACGCCTCCGCCTCGGGCGAGAACACCGTCGGGTTCCCGTCCCTATCGCGCGGCGAGACGACGAGCTTGACGACGTCCCCCGCGGTCGCGGTGAGGACGTCGCTGTCCGCGGAGGCGAGCGACGCGCCGTACACCGTCGTCACGCACGAATTCGCGGCGGCGCTCGACGGGTACGCGACGAGTTCGAACGGCGACCCGACGATCGGCGTCTGCTGTTCTCCCGCGGTGACGTGGAGGAAATACCGCCCGCTCGTCGTCGCGGACGCGACGATAGACGCGTGGCCTTCCGCGCCGTCGACGACGTGCGCGTCGATGTGCCCCGGGCCCTCCGCGGCGCATCGAATCGCGAGCTGCGATTGCCGGCTCGGCGTCTGGTTGCCGTGCGCGTCGCGTCGTTCAATCTGAAACGTCCCTCTCTCGCCAACCTCGACCTCGAGGACGGCGTCGCCGAGGAGAACGCACTGCGACGCGACGGCTCTTCCGGGGACGCAGATGCCTTGAAGCGTTAACGTCTCGTCGTCGAGCGTTATCGTGACTTCATACGGCCCGGCTTGACGAATCGCGTACGAACACTCGTACGCGCCGTTCCCGTAGTCCAACACGGAGCCCTCCTTCACGACGCCGTCGTCCGCGCCGCCGATGACTCTCGTCCGCATCTGCACGTCCGCGCCGCCGGACACGAGCCTGTTACCCCGCGAGTCGTGCGCGTCGATCACGAACGATATCCTCTCCCCCGAGACGCAGCGGTGCGTCCCCGCGCCGGTGATTTGACACGCGCCGAGCCGCATCTTCTCCGGGTGCACCGCGACCATGATCGGGCACCCGTCGATCGGGACGCCGTCCAGGGCGACCGTCACCGCGTGCGCGCCAACCTCCGGCCAGGTGATGCGCGCGCTCGCGGACTGCGTCCCGGGTTTGATGCGCAGCGGGACGGACATCGACATCGCGGACGGGGAGACGACTCTGACGGCGAACGCCTCGCCGCCGGTGAGCACGCGGCCAGTGCGCTTCTCGATCACCTCGACGACGAGCTCGTCGTCGCCGCCGCAGACGCTCTGTTGCCTTCCTCCTTTCTTCTTCGTCATCGACGCTCGCAAGTCACGCGACGTCAGAGGGCCGTACGACACGATGAGCTCGTACGAGTCGTTCGCGAGCCGCCCGTTGAACATCACGCGGAGCGTCCACGCGCCCTGCGACGTACACGTAAACTCCAACCCGTACGTCCCGTCGCCGTGGTCGCTGACGCGGACGTTCCCGCCGATCTCGCCGTCCGGCGCGCGCAGCACGCCGCGAACGTCGTCCCCGCCGCTGCTTCGCGGGTTGCCGTAGTAATCCGCGGCGCTGACGTTGATCTTGCACGCGCGGCCGACGAGCAAGCGCATGCGTTGGGTCGCGTCTCTCACGTGCGAGAGGTGCCCCGCGAATGGACCGCTCGCGGGCTGCGCGCTCAGGTCGAGCAACGCGTCCCCGGTGATTTTATCCGATCCGAACGCGACGCTCTGGTCCGGTCGCGTCGCGAGCGCGAGGTCGTCGAGCGCGCCGCCGAGGCTGCGCGGAGGGCGGCGCGCGCGCGGCGGCGTCCCCGACCCGGACGCGGACGCGGATTCGCGGGATTCGGAATCGCGATCCCCCCTCTCTCCGCGCCACTCCGTCTCCACCTCCACGACCTGCGTCAGCTCTCCGCCGCCGGCGTTCTCTTTCTGATTCTTCTCTTTCTCTGAGATATCTCCGCGCTCGAGGATGTCCAGCGCGGACGCGACGCTGCTCGCCTCGCTCGGCGCGACGCCCTCCGCCAGCGGCGTCGCCGTGACGGAGACGACGAGTCGCGTCGCGAGCGTCTTCTTCCCGAGCTTCAGAGGTAACACCCTCTTCACGCTCCGTCCGGGGGTGATCGCGAAGTCGAGGAGGTCTAACGCCGCTTCGCCGTACGTTTTATCTCCTTCTTTGACGACGAACGAGGACACCTTAGGGGCGTACGCGTCCGTCTTCGGGTTCACGAAGAGCGTGCAGAGAAGCTGGAGGTTGTCGTCGATCGCGGCCTCTCCGCGCGCGACGGCGACGCTCTGCGTGGATACGAAACGACGCGCGGGGGCAGGGGGCACGTCAGAGGGGGTCGAGGGGACGGCGGCGGCGGCGGCGGCGGCGGCCGAGGGCGCGTCGATCGCGCGGACGTCGCGGAGGAAACGCGGGGCGAGGGGGCGCGACGACGCGTTCGCTCGCCCCGACGGTTCGGCCGTGCTTTTCCGCATTTTCGAACGAAGATCGGCGCGGCGTCGCGCGCGGACGCGGGGGCGAGACGCACCTTGCTCGAGCTCGACTTCTTCCCGCGCTTCCACGTCACGCACAGGGACTTCGTGTTCGGCAAGACGTTGAACAGGTGATGGACGCGGACGTCGAACTGCGGGAAAGAGCGAGCGCGAAATCGGAATCGGAGGGCGGGGCGTCGGTCAGGAAGAGGAGGAGGAGGAGGAGGAGGAGGAGGAGGAGGATGCATCGCGCGCGGAGGGGGGTATCGCCGAGGCGCGCGGCGCGACGCGAGCGGTCGCGACGTCGGCGGCGCGAAGGGCGCGCGATCGCACCTGATACTTGTCCGCTTTCCATCCCTTCAGCGAGCGCATCACGCCGGACACCATGTTCCCGCGCGCGAATCCAGCGCCCGCTCGCGCTCGCAGCTGCGCCCCTTCCTTTCTCGCCTCGCCGCTTCCCTCGCGACGCCCCGACGCGCTCTCCGCGGACGCGCGGGCGGTCCAACGCCGACGCGCGCGCGCGCTGTGCACGTGCTCGCGCGGTCGTCAACACCCCGCGTGCGTCGCGCTCGTGCCGAGCCTGCGCCGCGTGGGCGCGTTGTGTCAGCCCGCTCGACGCGATCGAGGGAATGAAGGTGTTACTATCGACGCGCGTTAGAGCGAGCGCGACGTCGATTTCCGCGGCCGGTGAAAACAATCGCTTTTCACCCACCCCCGGTTTCAAGATTTGATCGCGCCTCCTTTCAACTGACTACGTTTCATACGAAAACACCGACTACACTAAAAAATTGCCCGCGCCGCGTCACACCCTCGAGTCCGCCGCGAACTCCCCGACGATCCGCGCACGCCGCTGCGCCAGCCGCGCCCGCCGCCGCCGCAGCGCCAACCCCGCGCACCCGAGACACATCACGCACATCGCCGCCGTCGCGTGCGAGAGGAAAAAGACCACCGCGCCGCGCGCCGACGCGAACGCGCTCCGCCGCGCGCCGCCGCCGCCGCCGCCGCCGAGTCCGAGTTCCTCCTCCACGTCGTCCCTCGCGACGCCCACCGCCGCGGAGATCGGATCCGTCCCTATCCTATCGCCGCGCGCCGCCGCCGCCGCCACCGCCGCCGCCGCCTCCCCGCGCGCGCGAGGCATGAGCGCCAACGACACCACCGCGCCCTTCTCGTCCGACGCCTCGCCCTCTCCGACGGCGGGCTCGTACCCCGGCGCGGACGCGCGCACGCGCACCTTCCCCGCCGCGCACGGCCGCGCGTACTGCCCCGTGCCGTTCAGCGTGGAGAACGGCATCGCGGCGCCCTCCGCACCTCCCTCGCCTCGAGGCTCGATCGTCAGGACGACGCCGGGCCCGGAGATTGGCGCGCGCGTGACGGCGTCGACGACGACGCCGCTCACGGATTTCGCGCACGCGACGAGCGCCGTCGCGAGCATCGCGGGCGCGTGCTCGCGCCACAGCCGCTCCAACTCTCTCACCTCGGGCCACTTCACCTCGTTGACTTCGATCGTGAGCGCCATCGTGCCGGTGACGATGTAGTGCCAGTCCTGCATCCCGCCCCACAGCGGGTACCACGCGGCGCCGTTCGTGATCCCGCCTTTGAAGCGCTCCTCGTTCGGACGCCGCGACTTTCGCGCGATGCTCAGTTCCGCGGTCGCGGGGATCATTCGCCCTCGATGCGCGGAGGCGTACGCGCTCGCCATCCTTCGAAACGCGGGGTCGTCAGGCGCGCGCGAGTACCGCGTCTTCCCGTCGTCGGTGCCGTCCCACGGGTAGTTGGCCACGAGCGCGCCCTCGTGGAAGTTGAGCGCGGCGGTGAGATTCGTCGCCCTGAGGGTCGAGGGTCCGTACGAAGCGACGTCGGGGTGGGGTTGAAAGGCGTCAGTTGAAGTTGAAAGGCGCCGAGGGCGGGGATTGAAAGCGAGGTGTGGGCGGAGAGAGACGATAGCAAAAGTCCTTAAGGATCGGCGTTCACCACGCCGACGCGGTCGTATGGGAACCAGTGTGAGATAGAACGCGCCTCGACCAACGCATCATCGCCGCCGTCTCCGGCTGCCGGCCGGCGGCGTCGTCGTCGTCGCCGCCGCCGCCGAAATCGCCGCGCTCGAGCTTTAACCCGCCGCGGAACTGATCCGGGAAGTCGCGGTTTAAGTCCACGCCGTTCGCGTTGTTCCGCGATCGCGTCGCGAACCCGTCCGGGTTCATCGTCGGCACGAAGAAGAGACGCGCGGACGCGACGAGCGCCGCCGCCGCCGTTAACGTCGCCGCGTCGTCGCCGTCGCCGCCGCCGCCGCCGACGCCGCGGTGCGCGTCGCAGAGCAGCCGCGCGAGTCTCAGCGCGAGCTCCCTCCCGACGGGCTCGTCGCCGTGCATGTTCGCGATGAACCCGAACGACGGCTTCGCGCCGCCGTTATCGCCGCCCGCGCCGGTCTTCGAGTTCGCCTTCTCCTCCGGGACTGCGATCTCGAGCACGGGCAGGTCGACCCCGCGGACGCTGCGTCCCGTGGACGACAGCGCGCTGATCCCCGCGCACGCGCCCTCGTGAAGCGCCCTCAGCGCCGCCGCGAGCTCTTCGTTCGTGCGGTACCTCCACTCCTCCCGCGTCGGGTCCGCGTCCGCGTCCGCGGCGATCGTCTGTTTCGTCCGCGGGACGGCGTCGGATCCGACGACGCCTCCGTCGGACGGTCTCGCGACGTCGACGGTCTCGAGCGCGTCCGCGCGCGCCGTCGCGGACGCGAGCAGCGCGACGGCGACGAGGACGAGGAGTCCTCGACGCGCTCGCGTCATCGCGGCGGCGTCGCGCGCGCGCGCGTCTGCCCGCGACCGCCGAGGTCGGCGCGCGTTTTCGCCGTCGGCCCATAACCTGCTTTTATCGAAATCTCGAAAACGACAGCCGCGCGAGAGGGGTACCACTGATAAACGGTCCGCGACGCCGCGCGCGCGCGCCATCGTACGGCGCGCGGTGCACGACATCGACGCCGACGTCGCACACGACCGACGCGAACGTCGCGCTCGTTCCGTGCGTCACATCACCTTTGGCGAACGCGCGGCGGCGCTCGCGGCGATGGCCCCCCCCGTGACGGGCCCCGCGATGCCGTCCGCCTCCATCGCGTCGGGAGCGCCTCCCGCGACGCCGCATCACGCGAACGGCGCGACGCGGTTCGTGAACAAAGAGAACGCCGCGCCGCCGGGCAGCAGCGCGAAGGAGTACGGCGCGTTCGCGGCGACGCCGGGAGCGAAGACCAGCGCGGAGTCCGTCGCGGAGGTGCGCGCTCGGCCCGATCGACCGCCCCCGCGATCTCGTCGTTCGTTGCTCATTCCGTCACGACACGAAACGAAACGCGCGCGAACGCATCATCGCCCCTCGTCGCCGCCGTCCGACGCCGTCTCCCGCCCCGTCTCCTCGTCTCCCTCCCATCCACAGCGCGTCGAGCGAATGAAAGAGCGCGTCAGAGTCCTGAGCACCCCCGCGCGGCGCCAGGCCGCGGCGGAGAGCGCGGAGGCGACGCTCGCGGCCGCGTCGTGCGCGCAACCCCCCGGGGCGTCCGTCCCGCCGCAGCCGCCCGCCGTCCCCGCGGCGCCGCACGTCACGTTCGCCCCGGGCGTCGGCGGGACCCCGATGCCCGGGCAGCCATCCGCGGCGAGGACGCCGTACACCGCGAACAAGACCCCGGCCGCGGCGGCGTCGAACGGCGGCGGCGTCGGCGCTGGCGCGGGGATCGCGGGCGGGAGACGCCGCGTCTCCGTGGACGGATTGCTCACGGAGTATCTAAGAGCGCAGGGGTCCACGCCGCCGCATCTGCGCACGGAGCGCGAACAGAGAGTCGCCGCGCTGAGGGAGTGCCCGACCTCGGCGCAGATGTGGTGCGAGTTTTTGGAGGGAGAGGAGCTCGCGCTCGGGGACGAGACCATGAACGGCGGCGGCGGCGGCGGCGGGTACGGCGGCGGCTCGGGACGAAACGGCGTGTCGCTGTTTCGCCTCTACGAACACGCGACGCGGTCGCTGCCGCAAGTGTCGCGCAACGCGCCGTACGAGAAGCAGGGGCACTACCTGCGTCTGTATCTCGGCCTCGCGCGGCAGCAGATGGTGTCGAACATGGACGACGCGCGCGACACGTTCAAGTACCTCAAGTCCGAGGGGTTTTGGCAGCAGCACGGGATGTTTTGGACCGAGTGGGCGGCGTTTGGGTACCAGTACAAGGGCGAGGAGAAGGCTTTGAAAATTTTAACCAAGGGCGTCGCGGCGGGCGCGACGCCGATATCCATCGTGGAGGAGATGAAGCGCGACATCGAGCGCGGGTCGTACCAGATCGCCGCGCCGGGGGGTCTCGGCCGCGGCGGCGGGGATCGAACCGGCGGCGGAAGCATGGATCCGTACGAGCAACAGAGAGAGATGGTCATGGCGCAGCGGCGAGAGATGATGCTCGCGAGGGAACGCGAACGCGCGACGCGAGCCGCCGCCGACGCCGCCGCGGAGGAGCGCGCGCGCCTGGAAGCGACCGTGAGCATCCCGAAGATAGACCCCGCGGGTGGGTACGGCGGTGGGTACGCGTACATGAACGACGAGAACGCGCCGCCGCGTCAGAGGGCGCCGCCGTCCGTCGCGCCGAGGACGCCGGCGGCGGCGGCGGAGCCCGACGACGTCACGATGGAGATTTGCTCCGCGGATCAGGCGCGGCGGCATCACCCGCCGCAGCAGCAGCAGCAACAGCGGCGCGCGGCGCATCAGCCCGCGGCGCCGGTCGTGGAGATGGAGGACGCGACCGTCGTGGTGGATTACGACGCCGCGCAGCAGCAGCAGCGGGAGCAGCAGGCGCGGCTGCAGGCGCGGGCGGCGCGGCCGCAGATGCCCCGGTCGATATCCGCGCCCGCGGCGCCGGGGGCGACGGCTGCGGCTTCCGCCGCCGCGGCCCCCGCGGCGCCCGCGGCCGCGGCGGTGGACGAGAAGAAGAAGCGCGCGAAGATCAGAGAGAACTCCGAGATGGTCGTCGTCAGAGGCGTCAAGTACCTGAAGCTCGAGTGCGTCGGTCAGGGCGGCACGTGCAAGGTGTACAAGGTGCTGTGCCCGAAGCGCAAGACGTACGCGCTGAAACGCATCCGTCTGCAAGGGCGCGAGAAGGAGACCGTCGCCGGTTTCTTGGACGAGATTCGTTTACTGCAAAACCTGCGAGGGAAGCACAACATCATCCAGCTCGTGGACGCGGAAGTGTGCAAGAACGAGGGGTTGATTTACGTCGTCCTCGAGTACGGCGAAATCGACCTCGCGCGTTTGCTCTCCAAGCGCGAGAAACAACGCGCCAAGGAGCTGAAGGAGAAGGAGAAGGGTAAAGAAGGCGTCGACGCGGCGGGGACCGCGGGCGCCGCCGACGCCGCGAACAACGGCAAGAGCAACGCCGGGATGATCGACGACAACTTCCTGCGTCTGTACTTTGAGCAGATGGTCGAAGCCGTGGGGACGATCCACGAGCAAAAGATCGTGCACTCGGATTTGAAACCCGCCAACTTCCTCTTCGTCGAGGGCGCGCTCAAGCTCATCGACTTCGGCATCGCGAAGCAAGACACGTCGAAGAGCGACACGACGAACATCGTTCGGGACCACCAGGTTGGCACGGTGAACTACATGTCCCCGGAGGCGATCTTGAACGGGCAGCCGAGCGCGCTGGGCGGACCGCTGAAGGTTGGCAGGGCGAGCGACATCTGGTCGTTGGGGTGCATCCTATATCAGATGGTGTACGGGCAAACCCCGTTCGCGAGGATCACCGGGATGATTCCGAAGCTGCACGCGATCACGGATCCCAAGCACGTGATTCCGATGCCGCCGGTCGCGAACCCGCACCTCACGGATCTCATCTCGCAGTGCCTCGTGAGGCATCCGCATCACAGGATCACGATCGAGGGAATCTTGCGGCATCCGTTTTTGCGCCCGGCGGCGGCGGCGACGCCGTCGAAGAACGCGGCGGAGGAGAAGCCCGCGTCCGGTCTCAGCGCGCTGCAGCTGACCGCGCTTCTGGAGCAGATTCAGAAGCACGGCGCGGGCGTGGACGTCGGCGCGGTGACGCAGGAGGTGTTCCGTCAGATCGCCGCGGGGGAGACGAACGTGAGCGTGTCGCCGCTGTTGAGAAAGCACGCCAAGGCGCCCACGGCGGCGGCGGCGGCGGAGACGGCGGCGGCGGGGACGGCGGAAACGGCCGCGGCGGCGCCGTTAACAGGGGAGCAGCCGGCGGCGCCGCCGAAGGAGCCGGCGGTGGTTGAGGAATCCTCCGTCCCGGCGGCGACGGACGCCGTGGACGCGATGCAGGAGGGTGTCGAGGCGATCAGCCTGAACGAGGCGTGACCGAAAACGACCGACGGGGGGCGGGGCGGGAACTCGGGAAGGGAACGAAAGTTTTCTGTTCGACACCGGCGCGAGCAGTATGATAGCAGTAAAAGGTTCTTTAACGACGACGACGACGTCTATCACATCGACGCACCACGACCCGCGATGCAACTCGATCACATCACGCGTCCATCGGCTTGAAGATCACGACGCGCTTGAACACCTCTCTGCTCGACACCTGGTCCCCCCCCGAGCCGTCCGCGTTTCGCGGCGTAAACGTCCGCTCGACGATCATCGTGTTCGCGTCCTCCAACGTCCGCTGCGTCGCCTCCCACCCCAACGGCGTGACGCTCTCCGTGAGGTGCACCTTCCCGCCCGCGCTCGGGTGGTCCTCGTACGACGTGTTTCGGAACACGCTGCCGCCCTCTTCGCCGAACAGCTCGCTGCCGCCTTTAAACGGCTCCTCCCACTCGCCGAGCGGGTAGACGATCGATCGGACGCCCTTGCCCGTGCCCGGGTCGGTAAGGACGCGGAACTCGCCCTCTTCCTCGCCCGTCTCTCTCCACTCTTGCTCGTACGGCGCGAGCGCGCGTTCGGCGGCTTTCTCGGGGGTGAGGCCGTGCGCGGCGAGGTACGCGGCCGCGTTGACGCTCTCTGCGTTGACGACGACGACGACGACGGGAGGGATCGGATTTTTTCAGGGTTAGGGTGGGGACGGAGTCGCGACGCGGGACGCGCGCGACCGCGCGGGCGATGGACGATCGCGGTGGTCGCGATGCGGACGCGGACGCGGCGCGTCGCTCGATCGATTGGCCGGGCGCGCGGCGGCTCACCCTCTGACGCGCGCGTCCACCTCCCGACGAAGCTCGGGACGTCGTCCGCGCTCGCCACGGCCGCGGCGACGCCGCGACGCGCGGTCGTCGTCGCGCGTCGAAGACTCCCTACGCGGCTCGACGACGCCCGCGAGACGCGCGAAACGGACGAGACGAGGACGCTGCGGGCGGCGACGCGTCCGAGCGCGTTCATGCGACAGGTGGCGTCTGCCGAGGGCGATGAATCGCGAGCGCGAGGCGGGCGACGGCTCGTCGTCCGCGCGGATGCGGAGTGGGACGACGAAAGCGAACAGAAACTCCGACACGTCACGGCCAGAGGCAGGGACAGGTAACAATCCATCCGACGCGGCGCCTCGCCGTCCGTCGTCACTCTCGGTCGCACGCGTCCCACGACAATGTCCGCATTCACGCTCTCCTCCTCCTACGCCGTCGCGAACGCGTCCGCGCTCGTCAAGAGCCGCGGCGTCAAGGTGCGCGTCGTCCGCGCGCCGTCGTCGTCGTCCCTCGTCCACCGCGCCGAGCGACTTCTCCGCCTCGCGCTTCGCGGCGTCGACGGGGTGGAGTTGAAAGGCGTCAGTTGAAGTTGAAAGGCGCCGAGGGCGGGGATTGAAAGCGAGGGATGGGCGGAGAGAGACGCCGGGAAAAGTCCTTAAGGATCGGCGTTCACCACGCCAACGCGGTCGTATGGGGACCAGTGTGCAATAGAACGCACCTTCGCGCGATCGATCGATCCGATCGAAAAGCGCCCCCCGATCGCGACGCGATCTGATCGCGCGTGTCGGAGCGATCCTCGACGCCCGCCGCTGACCCCCCCCATCATCGTTCGCCTCCGCGTATCACGCAGGCCCGCGCGTCCCGTCGCGCCGCGATCGCGCCCAAGGTGCGTCTCGCGTCCCTAAACCCGCGCGTCCCGTCCCGGTCTCCGCCCCGCCCGACCGCGTCGCCTCGAAGCGCGTCGGATCGATCAGATAGCGAGGGGAAGGAACAGATAAAACAGAAGCGACGCTTCGATCGCCGCGATTCGATTCCGCCGCGACCGATCGTCCCGGCCGCCCCTCCTCCCCCCCCCCCGCCGCCGCCGTCCCCTCACCGATCATCCAACCTCCGCCCCACCCCATCCCACGCAGGCCGCGGTCAAGGTCGGCGACGCCGCGCCGGACTTCACCCTCATGGGCCCCGGGTTCGAGCTCACGACGCTGTCGAAGCTCAAGGGCCAAAAAGTCTGCCTCGCGTTCTTCCCCGCCGCGTACAGCGGCGACGCCGACGGCGGCTGCGAGTGCCAGCTCGGCGCGCTCAAGTCAATCTCGGAGACGGACGGCGTCACTGTGCTCGGCATCTCCAAGGACACGCCGTTCACGATGGCGCCGTGGAGCGCGAAGGTTGGATTCACGTGTCTCTCCGATCCGTCGCTCGCGACGTCCGAGAAGTACGTCGGGACGTTCGACCTCGGGAAGTTCCTCGACGACATCGACGTGTCCACGAACTTCGCGCCGTACGTGACGTCGAACCGCGGGTGCGTGGTTTTGGACGAGACCGGGAAGGTCGTGTACGTGTGGAACTCGCCGGGGGAGCCCGGGATGTTGCCGGACACGACGGAGATTCAAGCCGCGCTCGGGATCGGAAAGACGAACTTCGCGTGAGCCGAGCGAGCGGCGACGACGACGACGTGAAGAGGAAGGGCGCGATCGCGACGAGCGGCGCGCGCGTGTTTTAATAACATGAAAAAGTATATGAAGAAGAAGACTCGTTCGTTCGTTCGTTCGTTCGTTCGTTCATAACACACGCGTTCTCTACACGTAGTCGTGACATGGTCACCATCCATCGGGGTATCACGTGTAAGATTAGTTGGGGCGGCCACTGGGGCAGCCGTTCGCTCGCGCCCACTGCAGCACCTCCAGGTGGCCGCCTTCCGCGGCATTAGTGCAAGTCCACTCGTCCCACGGACATCCGTTCGCTCGCGCCCACTGCAACACCTCCAGGTGGCCGCCTGCCGCGGCTCCGGAGCAAGGATCCTTGTTCCACGGGCAGCCGTTCGCGCGCGCCCACTGTAGCACCTCCAGGTGGCCGCCTTCCGCGGCTTTAGTGCAAGTAACCTCGTTCCACGGAGCGCCGTTCGCTCGCGCCCACTGTAGCACCTCCAGGTGGCCGCCTTCCGCGGCATCGCGGCAAGTCCACTCGTCCCACGGACATCCGTTCGCTCGCGCCCACTGTAGCACCTCCAGGTGGCCGCCTTTCGCGGCATCGCGGCAAGTCCGCTCGTTCCACGGACAACCGTTCGCTCGCGCCCACTGTAGCACCTCCAGGTGGCCGCCTTTCGCGGCATCGCGGCAAGTCCGCTCGTTCCACGGACAACCGTTCGCTCGCGCCCACTGTAGCACCTCCAGGTGGCCGCCTTCCGCGGCATCGCGGCAAGTCCACTCGTTCCACGGAGCGCCGTTCGCTCGCGCCCACTGTAGCACCTCCAGGTGGCCGCCTTCCGCGGCATCGCGGCAAGTCCTCACGTCCCACGGAGCGCCGTTCGCGCGCGCCCACTGCAGCACCTCCAGGTGGCCGCCTTCCGCGGCTCCGGCGCAAGTCCACTCGTCCCACGGACATCCGTTCGCTCGCGCCCACTGTAGCACCTCCAGGTGGCCGCCTTTCGCGGCATCGCGGCAAGTCCACTCGTTCCACGGACATCCGTTCGCTCGCGCCCACTGCAGCACCTCCAGGTGGCCGCCTTCCGCGGCATCGCGGCAAGTCCACTCGTTCCACGGAGCGCCGTTCGCTCGCGCCCACTGTAGCACCTCCAGGTGGCCGCCACTCGCGGCCTGGGCGCAAGTATGCGTGTTCCACGGGCACCCTCGTTCCTTCGCCCATTTCGCGACCTCCAGATTCCCATCCTCCGCGATGCACATGAACGTCTTCGCGTTCCACGGACACCCTCGCTCCTTCGCCCACGCCAGCCTGCCGACCGACCCGACGAAGTTCGGCACCCTCGCGAGCTCTCTCCTCACCGCCGCGAGGTCGTTGACCTCGCCGACGGACGACGTGAAGACGGCGTCGCGCGTGCTCCTGCTCACCAGCGCGAGCACCGCGAGGTCACCGCCGTCGAACCGCGAGAGCACGTGCTCGGTGAAGACATCTCGCGCGTCCGCGGCGAGTCGTTCCAGGAGTGGGGGCAGGGCGATATCCTCGTTCGCGTCCATCTCACCCTCGGGCGGTGCACGAGAGCGTGCGGCGGCGTTGCGGGAGTGTGGACCGGCGACAGTTTCGAGGTTCCGAGGGATGACAGACCGACGCGACGCGACGCGACGGACCGTGGAATTCGACGAGACACGTCCTTGGTTTCAAATGGGTGAAAACGCGTCGTTGACCCATTTTCTCGAAGCAGTTGACCGGCATCGGGGCGAAATTGACCGGGAAGCAGAAATGCCACCGGTCAGTCACGCCCTCTCCATCAGCTGCCCTCCTTCATGAACGCGGACTCGCCGAGCGACCGTCCCTCTTTTCGACGCGCTCTCTCGACGTGTTCGACGCGCGCCATGGGTAAGACTCAGGATGTGGTCACTCGCGAGTACACCATCAACCTCGCCAAGGCGGTCCACGGCGTCACGTTCAAGAAGCGTGCGCCCCGTGCGGTGTCTGCGGTGCGTCCTCCGGCTTTTTTTCTTCCCGCGAGCGCGCGGGATGGACGATTTCGAGCCCTAGGCATCCCGCGCGACGCGTCGCGCGCGACGCTCGCGACGCCCGCGACGCGCGCGTCGCGCCGTGGACGGCGTGCACGTCCCCACGGCGCCGATCGAGCGGTCGCATCGCGTCGCGGGCGACCGCCGCGCGCGCTCGTCCGGCCGCGTCTCTCGCCTTTTATTTCCCGCATCGTCCCGCCCACGCCGAGTCCGCCGCTGACCCCATCGCTCCGTTCTCTCGACGACCTCAGGTGAAGAAGTTCGCGCAGAAGGTCATGAAGACGTCCGACGTGCGCGTCGACGTCAAGCTCAACAAGCACATCTGGTCCAAGGGCATCCGTAACGTGCGTTCCCGCGTCGACGCCCCGTCCCCGCGCGGCATCCGTCGCTAGGGTTTGCGCTCGTTTTTTCTTCTCTCGTCGAGCCATCCACCATCCGTCGACTCGCCGCGGATCTGACGCTCGCCTCCCCCCATCCTCCGCCTCTCCTCCTCTCCAGGTGCCCCGCCGTATTCGCGTTTCCATCTCCCGCAAGCGCAACGACGACGAGGACGCGGCGGTGCGTCGAATCACCTAGCTTTCTGCGAGCTCGCCTCTCGCCCCCGCGCGCGTCGAGTCTCACCTCGCGCGAGCTGTCGCCGCCGTCGCTGACCTCTCTCACCCTTCCCCCCCGTTTCGATCCCGTCGTAACAGGAGGACCTCTACTCCTACGTGACGGTGGCTGACGAGTCCCAGGGTTTCTCCGGGCTCGGCACCAAGGTCGTGGACGACGTCTGAGCGCGCGGCGGCGGTGGGTTGTCAACTTAGTGGGGGTAAACTTTAGGGGGCCGAGTCTCCTCTCCGCGGCGTCGGGGGGTGGGCGCGGTCGCCACCAGAAAACTCTGGGCGTCGGGACGGGTGTTGTAATGCGACGGTTCCTTTCGCTCTACGTGTCGTACCGTGACGCGCGTTTCGTACGGCGTCTCTCATCACTCGCGAGCCATCGTCGTCAGTCTCAGCCCAAAAGCTCGCTCGTCCAACAACAACATCCGTTGTTCGCGTTTTCCCCAGTTCAGTTCGCGTCGCGCGAGCGCACGGACGCGATGCCGAACTCGCGCGCGTTCCTCGACATCGACCTCGACGACCACCGAGCGAAGTACGCGCGCGCGGCCGCGTTCGTGGAGGCGACGGACCTCCGCTACGGGTTCAGCAGCAAGGAGATCGCGGAGCTCGGCGGGAGCGAGAGGGCGCGCGTCGCGGAGCTGTACGAGAACGACTTCGACTGGAGCGGGAGAGGGCCTATCGAGGTCGAGCCCGCGGCGGAAGAGAGACTCGTCATCGAGCTGTACGACGACAAGGCGCCGCTGGCGGTGGAGAACTTCAAGGCGCTGTGCACGGGGGAGAAGGGCGTGAGCAAGAACTGCGGGGTGCGTCCTTCGGCTCTCCCCCCTTCGCTTCCCCCTCGGCGTTCGTTCATCGTTTCTCGTTTCCTCCGCGCTCATCAGATCGATTGACTCGTTCGTCCCCGCCCCATCCCCCACCTCCTGCTCCTCCCTCAGGTCGCGTACCACTACAAGGGCGTGCGGTTCCACCGCGTCGTGAAGGGGTTCATGATGCAGGGCGGCGACTTCGCGATGCAAAACGGCAGCGGCGGCGAATCCATCTGGGCGAAAAAGTTTAAAGACGAGAAGGACGGCTTGAAGCTCAAGCACGACGCCAGGGGCGTGCTCTCCATGGGTAACACCGGGAAGAACAGCAACGGGTCGCAGTTCTTCATCACCTTCGCGCCGTGCAAGGCGCTGGACGGGAAGCACGTCGTGTTCGGGAAGGTGATCGAGGGGTTCGGCGTGCTGGACGCGATCGAAGCGTTGGCGGCGGCGAGCGGGGGGGTCACCGAGGAGCCAACCGCGCCCGTCGTCGTCGCGGACTGCGGGGTGTTATAGCGCGGGGTGTTATAGCGCGGGGTGTTATAGCGCGGGGACCCTAGATAGCCTAGCGAGCGGAGAATGGTGTCGATGTCATCGAGTGACGTGCGGTACGGTGATACGTCAGTCGTCTTTTATCGTATTAAAACAGACAGAGTGAAGAACAGAATAGAGTCGCGCGCGGCCGTCCTCGCGGCGGCGGCGGCGAAATGAAAAATGTCGCGGGCTATTTACAAGTAGCGTACAGCGTCGTGGTCGTCAGGCGGCGTCTTCTACGCTCCGTCGTCGGCGATGTCCTCGACGATGACGTCATCGTTCGCGATCGCCTTGGTCTTCGCGCCCGCCGCGTCCGGCGTGCTCGGACCCGCGGCGACGGGCGTCGCCGCCGGAAGCGCCGCCGGCGCGTCCGCGGAGACGTCCACGACCACCTTCGCCGGCGCGCTCGGCTTCTTCGCGACGACCGTGAGAATCCCGTCCGCGACGTGCGCGCGGACGGTGCCGCGGTCGATCCGCGACGACACCGTGGTCGCGAAGCTGTATCTGCGGCGGCCGAGCGCGGTCTCGCAGTCCGCGCGCGCGCGAAGCGTCCCGTCGGCGTCGACGTCCATCGCGAAGTCTTCCGCGCGCGCGCCGGGCACGGCGCGGCGCACGAGGCACACCATCTCGTCGGCGTCGGCGTCAGCGTCGTCGGCGTTCTTCTCGTTCTTCTTCTTCTTCTTCTCAGCGTCCTCGCCGTCGGCGTCGGCGAGGAGCGGCGCGTCCGGGGAGACCGGCAGCGTCAGCGGCGACGGCGTCTCCCGGCGCACGCGGATCGTCAGCACGCCGTCGGCGCATCGCGCGGAGACCGCCGCCGCCGCGTCGCCGAGCGAGTACTCGCGCGTGAACGTCCCGCGCGTCTTCGAGACGCCCCGAACGACGAGCCGTTCCGTCGGCTTATGGCGCGTGATCTTGACGTCGCTCGCGCGGAAGCCCGGGACGTTGATGACGATGTCGCGGTCGGCGGCGGAAGCGCGCTTCTTCTCGTCTTCCTCCGCCTCCGCGGCGCCGGCGGCGACCTCGACGAGCTCCTCCGTCGGCGGAATCTTCGGGATGACGATCCGCAGGACGCCGTCGATGCACGACGCGGCGATGCCGCTCGCGTCGATGAGGCCGGAGGCCAGCGCGAGGTCGGTCTTCACGCGCGGGTGCGTCTTTGAGCGCACGCTGAGGACGCCGCCGCGCGCGCCGTTCGGTCGAGCGCAGATCTCGATTTCGGACGCGGCGACGCCCGGGACGAGCGCGGTGACGAGGTAGCCGCGATCGGTCTCGGAGATCTCGAACACGTCGTCGTCGGTGTTCTCGCCGCCGGCGTTCACGTAGTGATGAAAGAACGGATGGTCGATGAGGTTCACGTGGCGTCGGCGTCGCTGCGCCGGGCGGTGATGATGATGATGATGATGCCAGAAATCTCGCCCGAGGGCGTCGAACGGGGAGACGAAGACGTCGAAGGGTCGAGCGAAGAGCGCCATGGGGATGTTGCCTGAGTGCGTGCGGTGCTTCTTGTGCGTGTAGAGGTTCGTTTGCGTCGCCTCGAAGGGGACGGTGTGTGCGGTTCGGTTGCGGGTGTTCGCTGTGCGCGTGTGGAATGCCGCGCGATGCGAGCGTTTCCGAAACTTATCGAACCCGCCGAAACCGAACCGGCCCCCGAAACGCGCCACGAGGCGGTTTCGAAACTTCTCGATGAACGTGGACGTTCACCGAAGCGATCTTCGCGGACCTTCGTCTAAACTCGCGTTTCATCGGGGGAGCGCGAAAGGCATCTCGAGTCCAAATCGTAAAATGTAGCCTTTATATTTCTTAAAAATGGAAACGGTTCCATCGGAGAAATCCCCCACGAGAATTCGTGCGGCCACCTCACAGTTAAAGATCGAGCCCTGGTTTACCAGGACTTGCCAACCCAGCTTCAGCGATGAAGCGCGGTGAACTGACCCTTGACACCGATCAAGGGGACGTAGCTCAATTGGCAGAGCGCTCGCTTCGCATGCGAGAGGTACGGGGATCGAAGCCCTGCGTCTCCAATTACCTTTTGCTTTTCGTATGCGAACCACCCAGGCGGGCAACGCGCGCGTACTACGTGCAGGGCCAGTGCGGGCCAGCCATCGTTTTGGTGTTTCTTCGCGCGTTCCGACGTCCGCGGAAGTCAGAACGATGGAGGACGACGACACCTCGCGCCGCCCCGCGCTCGAGCCGTGGCTCCGCGACCTCGGCGAGAGCTCCGGCGTCGCGTTCGCGCGCGCGTCCCCCCGAGAGAGCGAGCACGGCCGCGGCCTCTTCGCGACGAGCGACGGCGTCGACATCGGCGACGTCGTCCTCTCCGTCCCGAAAAAGCTCGCGCTCGTCGTCCAAGCCGACCGCGGTCTCGCGCTCCCGTCCGACGGGTCCTGGCCGCGCGTGCGCGCGGGCGTCGCCGCCGCCGCGCCGGACGCGGGGAAGACGTGGGAGTTCGTCCTCGCGCGCGCCATCGTGGACGCCGTCGCCGGCGACGGCGGCGCGTTTTGGACCCAGTACGCCGGCGTCCTGCCGCCGCCCGAGAAGCTCGCGCATCCGTTCCTCCTCTCGGACGCCGAGCTCGCGTCGCTCCAGGACGACGACCTCGCGGCGGAGGGACTGAACGACGCGATGCGAATCGCCGCGCTGATGCCGGACCTCATGGACGCGATCGAGGGCGGCGAGCGCGGCGAGCACGAGACCGCGGTCGGCGCGTGGGCGCTCGCCGTCGTGCGCTCGCGAGCGATGCTCGCGGGTCTGAACACCTACGCGGTGGTGCCCTTCTTAGATCTCGCGAACCACGCGACGATACCGTCGGTGGACTACCGATGCGAGGGCGTGGAGACGCGGACGAACGGGATCGGGATCGCGCCGCAGGAGAAAGACGCGACGACGTTCGAGCTCGTCGCGCTGAAGCCGAGGAAGGCGGACGAGGAGCTGCGTCTCGCGTACACGCGAGGGCAGCTGACGTCGGCGGCGCACTTCGCGCAGTACGGGTTCGCGCCGCCGGGGGGGTCGCCGCTCGATAGGATAGACTTGATAGGCGGCGACGACGGCGGTGGGGTCGTGCGCGCGAGCGCGCGGTTGAGAGCGGCGCTGAAGCGCGCGACGAAGGCGGCGCTGACGCGGTGCGCGGGCGAAGAGGGCGGCGGGGAAAAGCACGCCGGGTGGGTCGCCGCCGCCGCGTCCGTCTCCGCCGCGTTCGGGAGCGGCGACGGCGACGGCGACGGCGACGGCGACGGCGACGGCGACGCCGCGACCGTGGAGACGCTCCTCGCGCGCGTGGGCGCGATAGAGTCTGGGTACGCCACGACCTTGGAGGACGACGAGCGCGCGCTCGACGAGATCAACGAAGCCGTCGGGGACGCGAGGGACGAGCGCGCCGGGAACATCCTCGGATTGCGCGCGGGGAAGAAGCGGCTCGCGAGACGCGTCGCGGAGCTTCTGCGCGAGCTGAGGGAGGCGTAGAGTAGTCCGGCGGCGGTGGCGGCGGCGAGGAGTACAGTATGTGAGTAAGACCGCGGTCGGCTTGGACGACGAGCGCGAGCTTTTTCGGCACGGAGAGGACGACGTCGCCGACGTCGACGCCGTCGCTCGTCGCGAAGAGGCCGCGGCCGTGCTCGCTCTCTCGGGGGGACGCGCGCGCGAACGCGACGCCGGAGCTCTCGCCGAGGTCGCGGAGCCACGGCTCGAGCGCGGGGCGCCAGCGCGAGGTGTCGTCGTCCTCCATCGTTCTGACTTCCGCGGACGTCGGAACGCGCGAAGAAACACCAAAACGATGGCTGGCCCGCACTGGCCCTGCACGTAGTACGCGCGCGTTGCCCGCCTGGGTGGTTCGCATACGAAAAGCAAAAGGTAATTGGAGACGCAGGGCTTCGATCCCCGTACCTCTCGCATGCGAAGCGAGCGCTCTGCCAATTGAGCTACGTCCCCTTGATCGGTGTCAAGGGTCAGTTCACCGCGCTTCATCGCTGAAGCTGGGTTGGCAAGTCCTGGTAAACCAGGGCTCGATCTTTAACTGTGAGGTGGCCGCACGAATTCTCGTGGGGGATTTCTCCGACTGCGCGAGCTGAGGGAGGCGTAGAGTAGTCCGGCGGCGGCGGCGGCGGCGAGGAGTATGTGAGTAGTAGTGTGATGAGTATTTGAGCAATGCTACATACGTCAGTCCCAGTATTTTATCGTGCCGTCCCACGAGCACGTCGCGACTTTCGACTGCTCCAACGGGTGCCACTCGCACCCGATCGTGACCTTGTCGTGCGCCCTGAGCGTCTTGAAAATCCTCCCGGACTTCCAGTCCCAGAAGTGGCACTTCCCCTCCGAATCGCCGGACATGATGAACCTTCCGTCCGGGGAAAAGTTCACCTGGCACGCGTACCCCGCGTTGGAGTGCCCGGTGAACCGCTTCTTCTTGTTCAGACGGAATTTATCCTTCGTGCTGTAAATCATGATCTGGTTATCGAGACTCTGGCACGCGATCCAGTTCCCGTTCGGGGACGCGGTCACCGCGGGCATCGAGTGCATCGACGGATCCGCGATGTACTTCATCGTCACGGGGATCCCAAACTCCCACACCCGCAGAGATTTGTCATCCGACGTCGTCGCGAAACGCCGGCCCTCGTCGCAAAACGTGATCGTGTTCACTGCGCCCAAGTGCTGGTCGTACTCCTGCACGACGTCCCCGGAGTTCATGTCGTACTGCAGAATCTTCTTGTCGCTCTGCGCGGCCATGAGAATGTTCTGCTTGTCCTCGTCCGGGTGCATTTTCACCGCGTACGCGATCTTGCCGGAGGTCAACGTCCGAATCACCTTTCCGGTTTCCGTGTCCCAGAGTTTTAACTTTTTATCCCACGACGACGATATGAACCGCGTGCCGTCGTTGTTGAACTGAATGTCCTTGATCGCCTTGTCGTGTCCCAAGTACGTCCGCATACACTTCCCGCTGTTGTGCACGTCCCAGATCTTGATCTTGCTGTCCAGACCCGCGCTCAGGATGAGGTGGCCGTGGTGAGGGAAAAATCGAATCGCCTGCACGCCCTTCGTGTGCCCGCTCCACGTGTGAATGCACCGCTTCGGCGCGTAGCAGTGATCGTTCTCCTTCTTCCGGTCCTTCGGCGGCGCGATCCACGCCTCGCCGGCGTAGTTCTTGAGCTCCTTCCCGTGGAAGAAGCTCCGGTCGCCGCTCTTCCCGTCGTCCTCCGCGCCCGCGCCCTCCGCGCCCTCCGCGCCCGCGGCGGCGGCGGCGTCCGTGATCTTGTTCCCATCCTCGTCCCTGATCTTCCCCCGCGCGCGCATGTTCGCCTCCCTCCGCGCGGCGTGCCACGTAACGTACTCCTTTTGCTCCTCCGTGAGGTCTGTCGTCTTCAGCGGCGGCATCGCGTCGCGCGCGGGGGCCCACGCGCTGAAATCCGGTTTCTCGCCGTCGTCGTGCGACGCCATCTCCGCGATGATCTGATCGCGCATCTTCTGCCGCTTCGCGCGGTTCATCCCGTACACCGTGTCCGCGTTCGCCTCCCTCAGCGCGTTCATGTCGCCCACGAACCCTCGCCCCGAGGGCTCCGCGGCCCACCCTTGGGCTTGGAACGTCGCGTGTTGCTCGTCGAACGTGAACTGGTTCATGCGCACCGTCTGGACGTGCCCCTGCGCGTGATTCCTCGTCGCCCTCGACACGCCGACGTCGCCGTGGACCGGGTGATGCGGGCCTTGCAGCGGCGCGTGGAGGTCTTCGTATTTAGGGTTGTGCCACATCTTCTTCTTCGCGGGATCTGCGCGAGCGAGCGAGCGGGCGTCGGGGTTAATGAATGGTCAGTGAGGAGAGAGGTGGCGAATCGAAAGAATGAAATATCAGTCGTAGTAGGGTTCCCGCGCGATCTGGAGGGGCGCGCGAGGGAGGACGCGCGCGCGCGCGGGCGGCGGCCCGCCGCGGCGGCGCGAGGCGTCCGGACCGGACGCACCTATCATCTGCGACGCCACGTTCGTCGCGACGACGATGTCCCTCCCCTGGTCGTCCGTCGTCATCGCCTTCCCCGCGACGACGACGTCCGGGGCCGCGTTCACCGATCTGGAGACGTACGTCGTCGCCGCGTCGTCGTCGTCGTCGCCGCCGCGGTCGCTGCTGCCGGAGTACTGCGCGAGCAGGTCCATGACGGCGACGGCGCGAGGATGCGGGCGCGCGCGCGCGGTGTGATGATCGACGCGTCGACCCGAGGCTCTCGTCGCGCGCGTGACGCTGTGGCGATCGGTGATCGTCCAGTCCGCGGAAAGTGCCCTTCGAAAGCCGGCCGCGGACGGTCGCGCCGCCTGCCAGGCTCGGCCGGCCTCGATAACTAAAAAGTGCAATTCGCCGTCGCGCGTCGCTGCCGCCGGCTTCGCGCGCACAGCGAGGGACGCGAGCACGCACGCGCGAATCGAATCTCCGCGCGCGCGCACTTCGTCCGTCGAGAGCGCGCGGGTCGCGTCTGGCATCCCTCGGGGGCGTCGCGAGTCGACGCGCGAGCGCGTTCGCGGGCGGCGGGATTCGCGCGTCGATCACCGATCGAGGCTCCAACCGAACGAAACCCTCGATTCGCAGGGTTCGTTAGGTCACCGCCGACGCGCGAGGCGACGCGCGAGGCGAGGCTCGCGCGCTCCGACGCGAGCGGGCTCGAGCGTCGCGCTCGCGTCGGAGCTCGCGTCGCGTAGCGCGCGCGGCGCGTCGGCGCGATGCTCGGCGCCTCGGCGATGGCGTCGACGACCGCCCCGACGCGCGTCGCGCGCGGCGGTGGGGCGGCGGCAGGCGAAATGGGCGCCGCGGTGCGCCCGCTGCGGCGCGGCGCGTCCGCGTGGGGCGCGCGAAGGCGCGCGCGCGGACGCGTCGTCGCCGCCGCGACCGCGCCGCGCGACGACGACGCGGAAGACGCCGAGGTGGACGACGCGTCGCGACGCGAGGAGGCGGACCGCCGTCGCGCGCGAGCGACGATCCTGTCCGCCGGCGCGAACGGCAGAGCGGGAAGCGCGTCGACGATGAATTGGAGCCTCCTGGGCCGCGCCGGGCAGGCCGCGGTCGTGACCGCGGCGACGATGTTCGCCGGCGCGGGCGTCGCGCACGCGGGAACAACGATCAAGGAGGAGACCGCGCGAGGCGGCGCGGGGACGTCGTCCGCGGCGGTCGCCAACCGCGGGGGGCGTCTTGGGACGAGCGGCGGCGCGACGGATCTGGGAATGCTTCTCGCGGACGCGTCGCCGGAGGAGGAAGAGGCGCGGCTGAAGAAGCTCGCGGAGATTCGAAGGATCAAAGCCGAGCGCGCGAAGTCGCTGCAGAAGGGGAAGAAGTCCGCGTCCGCCGACGCGGCGGCTTTCGACGACCTCGACGATTTCGACGACGACGACGACGACGAAGACGTCGCGGCGTCGAAGAAGAAGGGCAAGTCGAAGAAAGGAAAACGCGGCGCCGGGGCTTCGCCGGGGGAGAAGAAGATGACCGCCGCGGAGGAGAAGAAAGCCGCGCGGATCGCCGCGGCGAAGGAGAGGGCGTTCCAGATGGCGCTCGAGCGCGAGCGCGCGGCGATGGGGATCGGCGCGGAGGAGGAGGCTGCGTCGCCGCGCGCCGCCGCCGCCGCGTCGGGCGCGGCGGACGCGGCGGCGGCGGAGGAGGGCGTCCTCGTCAGCAACGCCGTCGCCGCGCCCGCGGAGAAGAAGAAGGGCAAGGGACTGAAACTCCCGAGAATGCCCGGCGTCGGCGGGAAAGGCGGCGGCGATAAGGTGGCCGTCGGCGGCGCGGGGACGGAGGAGGGCGGCGGGCAAAACAACGCGGTGACGAAGTTCATGAAAAAGCTCGGCCTCGGCGGCCCTCGGTTCGTTCGAAACGTGAACCTCGCGTACGTCCGCGACCCGTTCGCGGTGAAAGGGACGACGTACAGGCCGACGGAGTGCTCGTACAACGGCTTCTACGCCCTGTGCGAAACCAGAAGGGTCACGAGGGTGGAGTACATGCCGAACATGAACTCGGTGAAATTTTTCCTGAGGGACACGGACGAGGTGTTCTACGCCAACCTGCCGTACGACCCGACGTTGTACACGATGATGATCTCCAAAGGGATCGACATCGTGTCGAGGCAGTACACCCCGATCGAGCTGTTCATTCGCACGACGTTCAACGTCTTCACTCCCGTCATCCTGACCTGGTTCATGTGGCAGCTCTACTACGAGATGCAAAACGACAGCACGGAAGGGACGGACCTGCAGAACACCGGCACCGCGAAGACGTACGAGTCGCAGCCGCGGACGGGAATGACGATGAAAGACATCGCGGGCATCGACGTCGTGCGGGAGGAGATGAACGAGCTGATCGCGTACTTGCGCGACTACCAAAAGTTTGTCGCCGCGGGGGCGGTGATCCCCGCGGGCGTCCTCCTGTGCGGCCCGCCCGGCACGGGGAAGACGCTCCTCGCGCGGTGTCTCGCCGGCGAGGCGAACGTCCCGTTCTTCGCCGTCGCGGGCACGGAGTTCATGGAGATGTTCGTCGGCGTCGGCGCGGCGAGGATCCGGAACTTGTTCCAGCAGGCGAGGGCGGTCCGGCCGTGCATCGTCTTCATCGACGAGTTTGACTCGGTCGCCGTGCGAAGAAAAGACGCGTCGCAGGCGGAGCAAGGGAACGACGAGCAAGTCGCGACGATCAACCAGCTCCTGACCGAGATGGACGGCTTCGGCGGGAACAGCGGCGTCATGATCTTCGCGGCGACGAACCGCCCGCACGTGATCGACCCGGCGTTGATTCGCCCCGGGCGCTTCGACCGCGTCATCGAGATGCCGCTTCCGAACCGAAGCGCGCGGATCGACATCATCAAACTTCACGCGTCGTACGATCAAATCAAGGAGCACATCGACCCGGATCTGGACTACGAGTACGTCGCGAAGCAGACCGCGGGGTTCACGGGCGCGGACTTGGAGAACTTGGTTCGAACGACCGCGCTGAGAGCGGCGCCCATGGCGACGAAGGACAGCGGCCGCCTCGCCGACCTCGGCATGTTCTTGAACATCATCGACGAGATTCGACGGAGCAACGTGTTCAAGGCGACCGGGCAAGGCACGATCGGGGACCAGGACGAGATCCAGGAGAACGAGAAGATCCGCGCGATGAACCCGTACCTGCGCGACACCGTGTGCACGTACTTTGCCGCGCAGACGCTCACGGCGATGCTCGCGCCAAACTTTGACGAGATCGCCAAAGTTAAGGTCTTCGCCGGCGGCGAGGCGTCCGGGCAGATCGTGTACGTCCCCGACGAGATCGGCGCCGACGGCAACGCCGCGGTGAAGTTACGGCAGTGGTACGAGAGCAAGATGACCGTCCTCGTCGCCGGGCAGATGGCGGAGCGGTACCTCTACGGCCCCGACAACGTCAGCGAGTTTGGCACCGTGGACATGAAGGAGGCGACGGCGATGGCGTGCGAGATGGTGATGATGCACGGGTGGTCCGACCTCGGCCCGCTGTGCGTGTTACAGGACCTCTCGAACGAGGAGAAGTACCTAAACCAAGGGAAGAAGAGCTCGAAGAGCAACGGCATGCAGCGGAGCCCTGGGAAGATGATTGGGATCCCGCCCGGAAAGTCCATCGTCGGCTTGCGAGACCGCGTGATCAAACCGGAGGAGCAGACGTTGTTCGCGCTCGGCGTGTCCGACGAGATGGACCTCCTCATCGCGAACGAGGTTCGCAAGCTGTACGTCAAAGCGTGCCAGCGCGCGGTCGCGATCATGCACGACCCGAAAGGGACGGAGATGCTCTTCTCCATTCGCGAGGCGCTCGCGACGACGAAGGAGATCAACGGGCGGAACTTGATGCGCGTCTTCGACAAGGCGGGGTTACAGCGCGTGGATAACTTCTCCACGATGGACCTTCGCTGGGGCGAGGACACGGGCCTGTTCTGGGACGACTTCATCAACTCCGTCTGGGGCGACGACCCGAAGAAGGGCCGGTTCTGGACCGAAATCTCGAGGCAGTGGCGAAAGATGACCGACCGGGAGGCGATGACGGCGGCATCGCTGTACCCCGCGGATGGCTCCCCGAGCGACGACGCCGCCCCGGAGTGGATGCGAGACTGGTTCATGCAGCGCCCCGAGCTCGAGGACGCGAAGCAGATGGCGTACGCCCCGCCGAAGGTTCTCGCGGGCGTTCGAGCGACGCAAGAGGCTGGCGGCGTGGACGTGTCCGAGCTCGGCGTCGCCGCGGAGAAGACGTCCGCGGCGTGGAAGAAGGAGGAGGAGCAGTGGCTCGAGGAGAACGAGGGGAAGGACTTGGGCGAGGACGTGGAGGCGCGGCTCAGGGCGAAGGATAAGTTGTACGCGCAGGGGTTCGACAACGTCAGGTTCGTGGGCGAGGAGGGCGAGGTCGAGGACGAGGACGCGTCGGAATCGGAGGAGGGCGCCGACGGCGGCGCGGAGAAGTCTCCGTAGCTCTGTTGTGTTCGAATCGATCGAGTTTTACAATACGCGCGAACGGACGCGGACGCACCCTTCCTTTTCTCCAGCAACAGTACCTACGACTTTTTCCACGTGCAGTGCGCGCCGCACGCGCCGTCCGTGCCCGTCAAACCGCCGTTATCCCACCCCATGCCGCTGTGCCGCCAGTCAAACTCCGGCGCGACGCGCGGCTTCTCTCCGTTGACGTACGTGTCGTTGTAAACTTGCCGTCCCTTGAATTCGTACTTCCCAGTCGACGCGTCCTTCGTCGAGCGCGCGCCGTTCGCATCCAGCATCGCGATCGCGTCCGCCTTGGCCAACTTCACCGCGTCGCGCGTCCCCGTGATCGTCAGCGTCGACATGATCCCCTTGCGGACGCTCCCCGTCTTCATCTTCCCCTCGGTGATTCGCAGCCGCGCGCCCGTTTTCGTCGCGATGGCTTTGACGCCGTCGCCGCGGAGGATCGAGATCTTGTGCTGCGGGAACTCCATCGACTCCGACGCGATGTCCGCCGCCTTGACGCGTTTGGCGTCGTTCGCGGGGGCGTCGCCGCCGCCTTTGTCGTCGCCGGCGCTGATCTCCGGCTCGCTGCGAGGGAAGGACGCGAGGCGACGAGATGGACGCGTTCAGTCGACGGGAACGAGGGAACGCGAGAGGGAAGGACGAGCGAACGAACGAATAATGAACGCGTTCGCTCGCGGGCGACGAGAGCGCACGCACGTCGCCCCCGGCCTCAGCAGATGCAGCGTCCCGTCCGGGGAGATCCAGCAGTAGTTCCCGGCTCTGTCGTACCACCCGCCGCCGTAGGCGACGTACTTGGACGCCTCCGGCGGCGTCTCCGGCTCGAGCGCGCGCTTCGTCGACGTCCCCGCGGGCGCGTCGTCGCGTTCCCTTTCCCCGCCGGCCTCTCCGTCTCCTCCCCGCGCCGGCGCGGTCGTCGCCTCCGCGGGCTCGAGGACGATCTCGCCTCCGGCGGCGTCGTCGCCGTCGCCGTCGCTCGCGCCTTCGCTGTCGCTGCCGTAGTCCGCGACGAGGATGCCCATCGCGCACGTCGACGGGGGCGCTCGAAGGTGTGACGACGGGGGCGGCAGGAATCCGTCGACAGTAGGCGCCGCGCGAGCCGCGGTCGGCGCGGCGGAGCTCTTCTCCAGCTCTTCTCGCGACTCTGAGCGCGCTCGTCGTTCGAACGGCCGCGGAGTTGAACGGGTCCCGCGCGCGCTCGGTGGCCATACCGCCGGCACCGCCGCGCGATCGGCGCACCGCCCGGAGCTGGCATCGCGCACACGCGGCGTCGCCAGGCGAGCCCGACGCGCGTTCCTCGCGGACGCCCGAGACGTCGCGCGGCGCGAGATCGCGCGAGCGGAGACGGCCGCTAGCAGATAGCAGATCTCGAGGCGACGCGAAACTCGAGCCGAGGCGTTCGATCGAACCGACGCGCGCGGCGGTCGATCTCCCTCCGCTCGGCATGGGCGTCGCGCCCGGCGGCGCGAGCGCGATCTCCGCGTCGTCCCCGACCGCGATGCGCGCGCGAGGCTTCGCCGGGATCGTCTCCTCCGAGTCCGCGGCCGTGATGGCCGTGATGCGTCAGAACGCGAAGTTTTCGATCGCGACCGGGTACGGATACGACGACGCGGACGCGCCGGACGACCCTCTGCTCGAGGAGTTCAAAGCCATGCGGCGCAAGCTGTTCACGTGGAAGGACTGGAACGTCATCCCGCCGATCGAGTACCTCGCGCCGTTCCTCAGGACGATTCGAAGCGTGGAGACGTCCGGGCCGATCACCGGCGTCGCGCTCGGCGCGGTCTTAAAAGTCCTGAAGCACGGTCTCATCGACGTCGCCAACGCGCACGCCGCGGACGCGATGCATGCGGTCGCGGACGCGGTGACGCTCTGCCGCTTCGAAGCCACGGACGCGGACCACGACGACGTGGTGTTATCCAAGATCCTCCACGTCCTCCTCGAGTGCGTGACGTGCCCGGCCGGGCGGCTTCTGAGCGACGACGACGTCTGCAACGTCGTGCAGGCGTGCTACCGCATAGGGCACCAGTCCGGGAAGGAGTCCGCGCTGATGCGGAACTTGTCCAGGCACATCCTTCGCGAGATCGTGCACGCCGTGTTTAAAGGGCTGCCGGAGATGGACGGCCTGCGCGCGAGCGACGCGAGCGAGGACGGCGCGGGGACGACGCCGGGGCGAGCGCATCACATCGAAGGGAAACCTCCGCCGTCGCCGTCGAAACAGCCGGCGGCGGCGGCGGCGCTCGCGGAGGGGCAACCTCCCGCGCCCGCGCCGCCGACGGAGCAAGGCCCCGGCGCGGCGACGGACGCCGCGCCGCGGTCGCCCACACACGCCGGAGGGCACGCGGCGGATACCGAGCGCGAGCGCGCCGACCTCGGCGGGCACGACGCGGAGCTCGACGGAGGGCCCGCCGGGGAGCCGTTCGGTCTGATGTGCGTCTTGGAGATCTTCCGCTTCAGCGTCTCGTTCGTCTCGCTCGAGCGCGACGCGGACGAGAACGCCGAGGGCGCGTGCGCGTTCGGGCTGCAGCTCGTCCTCGCGTCGCTCGAGTCGTCGGGGGATCACTTCGCGAGGCACGCGCCGCTGTTGGAGCTCGTGCAGGACGACCTGTGCCGCGCGGTGCTCTCCGTCGCGCCCGCGGGGCATCCGTCGACGCTCGCCGCCGTCGCCGCGGTGATCCTCCAGCTGTACCTCGTGATGCACTCGCACCTCAAGCTTCAGCTCGAGGCGTTTCTGCGCATGGTGTTGCTCCCGCTGGGCGAGGGCGCGGGCGGCGTCCCGATGGAGTCGCAGAGGATCGCGCTCGAGTGCCTCGTGGACCTGTGCCGGCAACCGAATTTCGTGCCCGACGTCTACCTAAACTTCGACTGCGACATGGAGCGCGCGAACGTGTTCGAGGAGCTCACGACCATCTTGTCTCGCAACGCGTTCCCGCCGCAGGGCGGGGTCCTGAACCCGACGCATCTGCTCGCGCTGGAGGGGCTCCTCGCCGTCGTCGGCGGCATCGCGGAACGCAGCGTCACCGCGCCGCCGGTGCGCGAGTGCGCGTCGACGCCGTCGTCGGATCTCGCGGGGGGTCCCAACGCGACGTACGCGGACATCTGGAGCGAGATGGGCTCGGGGAAGGCGAGGCCCGTCGCGGACGCGGGGTTGAAACGCGCGACGGCGTTGCGACGCGCGCGGCATCTGAAGCGACGGCTGTTGACGTGCGCGGAGCACTTCAATCGGTCGATGAAGAAGGGTCTCGCGTACACGCAGGAGATCAAGCTTCTTCCGGACCCGCTCGAGCCGACCGCGGTCGCGCGGTTCCTGAGGTACACCCCGGGGCTGGACAAAGAGGTCGTCGGCGAGTACCTCGGCGATCACAAGGACTTCAACGTGTCGGTGTTGAAACAGTACGCGGACATATTCAACTTCAAAGGCGTGACCCTGGACAAGGCGTTGCGGTCGTTTCTGGACGGATTCAAGCTCCCCGGCGAGGCGCAGAAAATCTCGAGGATACTCGAGGTGTTCGCCGCGCGCTACTACGGCGCGAACCCGGACGCGGTCGCGGACGCGGACAGCGCGTACGTCCTGTCGTATTCGATCATCATGTTAAACACGGATCAGCACAACCCGCAGGTGAAGCGGAAGATGACGCTGGAGCAGTTCGTCCGCAACAACCGCGGCACCAACGGCGGCGAGGACTGGCCGAGAGAGACGCTCGAGTCCATATTCGACGGGATCGTCGAGGACGAGATCAAACTCACAGACGAGTCCGCGCCGACGTTGACGCCGTCGCGGTGGGTGGACATGATGCGCGCGTGCGGAGACGGCAAAGGGAGGATGCTGCAAATCCCCGAGGCGGACGAGGCGGTGCTCTACGACGCGGACCTCTTCGCCATCGTGTGGTCCCCCACCGTCGCCGCGACGTCGATCGTGTTCGACCACGCGGTGGACGAGAGCGTCTTGAAGGAAGCCCTGGACGGGTTCTTAGGGATCGCGCGCGTCGCGGGGCACCACAAACTGTGCGACGTGATGGACCACCTCGTGTCGACGCTGTGTAAGTTCGCGGCGCCGCCGTATCTTCGCGGCGACGGCGGCGGCGGCGGCGGCGGCGGCGGGTCGTCGTCGTCGTCGTCCTCCTCCGCGACGTCGAAGAGAGCGTCCGTGCGATTCGGCGAGGACGATAAAGCGCGAACCGCGGCGGTGACCGCGTTCACGGTCGCGAACCGGTACGGCGACTCCCTCCGCGGGGGGTGGCGTCACTTGCTCGACCTCGTCGTGCGCCTGCAAAAGCTCGGTTTGCTCTCGGAAAAAGTCCGAACCGGTCTCGGCGTGGACGAGCGAGACGGCGGGACGATGCGCGCGTTCGACGGCGGCAAAGCGTCGACGTCGAAACCGGACGCGAAGCTCGCGAAGAAGTCGTCCGCCTCGAGCAGTTTCTTCCGGTTCTTGAGCCTGGACGCGGACTACTACGGCGGCGCCGCCGCAGAGGCGCCGCTCACGGAGGCGGAAAAAGCCGCGGAGGAGCGCGCGATTCGATGCGTCGACGCGTGCCGCGTCGACGAAGTCTTCGCGGACAACTCGAAGTTTTTGGAACCAGAGGCGTTGCTTCACCTCGTCCGCGCGCTGACGTCGGCGGGCGGCCCATCGCGCGGCAACGCGACGGAGAGCAACCCGGGAACGCCGAGCGGCGCGGCGGCGTCGCCCGCCGGCGGCGGCGCCGGCGCCGGGCTCGTCGTCGCCGGCCCCGAGGACGAGGACGTCGCGCTCTTCTGCCTCGACGTCCTCGTCGGCGTGACGCTGCGCAACAAAGACCGCGCGAAGGCGCTCCTGCCGCACGTGTACGGGTACCTGCGGATCGTCGTGCAGAGCGCGAAGGCGCCGTCGCCGCTCGTCGAGCGCGCGATTTTCGAGCTCGTGCGCGTCTGCCGCCGGCTCCTCCCCGTCTCGGACGATTTAAATCTCTCGGACGAGCTCCTGGACTCGCTGCGGTTGATGTTCGCGCTCGAGCCCGCGGTCGCGGACGCGTTCATCGAACGCATCGCGCGCGAGCTCTGCGTCCTCGTCTCCGTCGCGGCGGATAAGGTGAGGACGCAGAAAGGGTGGGACACGATTTGTAAACTCCTGATGGCGTCGGCGCGGCACCCCGACGCCGCCGCGCACGGGTTCAGCGCGCTGTCTCGGATCATGGGCGCGGCGGTCGCCTCGGAGGATGGAGCCGCCGAGGGCGCCTCCGCGGCGACCCCGGCGGCGGCGACCGCCGAGGGCGCGATCGTCGAGAGCCGCGTCCGCCCGTGGAACGTCAAGTCGTTCGTCGAAGCCGCCGCCGCGTTCGTCGACGCGACGCAAGGCGGCGACGCGCGATCGATCGCGGCCATCTCCTTGCTCTCCTCCGCGTGCGCGTCCATGTGCGCGTGGTGCCAGGGCGACGACGCCGTCGAGACCGCGCTCGCGTTCGCGTCGCTGACGTCCCCGCAGGGCGCGTCGCCGCCGCCGCCGGAGCAGGCGGTGACGTCGCTGCGCGCGCACGCGTTGCTCGGGCCGTGGAACGACGTCGTCGGCGAGCTTCGACGCGTCGGCGAGAGCGAATCGCGCGCGGGCGTGCGCGACGACGCGCTTTTGACGCTGCAGAGGGTGTTACTCGCCGCGGAGGGGTTACACGCGCCGCCGACGCACTGGATGATGCTCATCGACGGCGCGCTGCTTCCGATGGCGGCCGCGCTCGGGGAGCGGTGCCGCGCGGCGGGCGCGGGGCGGACGCCCGCCGCGGCGGAGGCGCGCGTCGCGGCGGAGCGCACCGCGCGCATCGGCGTGGGCGTCGTCGCGAAGACGTTTCTGCAGTACCTCGGAGGGATGCTGTCCGCGGCGACGCCGACGCAGTTCGCGACGACGTGGCACGCGATCTTGGACGCCATGGAGAAGCTTCTGAAGCACGCGAAGAGCGAGGAGCTGCAGGAGGCGGTTCCGGAGGCGGTGAAGAACATGCTTCTGGTGATGTCCGCGAGCGGCGCGCTCGCGCCGGGGGCGCCGGAGGGGTTGTGGGAGAATACGTGGAAGAGGGCGGCGGCGATCGACGCGGGGTTGACGCCGTCAATCGTCGGCGCGAAGGGATGAAGGGACGAGCGGCGGCGGAGACGCGGACGCCGCGCCGGTCGGTTTGAATACACGTATAAAAAAACGCCAAGCTTTTCCCTTTCTGGTACATACGCGTACTACGTACGACGCCCGTCCAGCTCTGACTAATAACGCATACAGATTCGCTTTGTTCGCAATTCATTGGGCGTCGCGAATGAGCTGGCCATCAGCCAGCTCAGCGAGACGTTTAATCCGCCGAACGCCGCGCGCGCGCCGACACAAACACACCACGCACGCGAGCATGTCCGTCATCGTCAGCTCCGCCGCGACGTACGCGGCGCTGTCCGCGCCTCGCGCGCGCGTCTCCTCGCGCAAGGCGCTCGGCGGTGCGTCTCTCGCCGAGCTCGGTTCGCTCGTCGCGAGGATAAATACACCATCCGGATGACTTGATTATTTCCCGCCACGATCGCGTTCGCTCCGCGTCGACCGACGCCGTCCTCCGTCTCACCGCCGCCTCCCCCGCGCCCTCCGTCTTCGCCTCGTCGACGACCTCGCAGGCGTCCAGCTCCCGAGCGCGTCCAAGGCTGCGATCGCGCTCGACCGCGCGAGCTCTCGCCGCGGCGCGCGGCTGGTCGTCCGCGCGGAAGAGGGCGGCCTCCCGGACTTCGTCAAGGACCTCATGAAGCCCCCCGACGCGTCCATCGCCGCGCCCGGGTGGCTCGCGCCCGTGATCAACCTCGCGGAGGAAGCGGGCGAGGACGCGCCCGTGGTCGGCTACGGCATCATGGGCGCGACCGGGGTGTTTCTCGGTCTCATCATGGTCGTCGCCGTCGGCGGATTCGGATTCTTCCTCGCGCTCGCGGGGACCGGGTACGCGTGCTGGCAAGCGTCGCCGTACCTCTCCGCGATCGGCGATAAGTTCGACAAGCCGCCGGCGCAGCCGCCGTCGATGGACAGCACGGACGAAGAGTGAAGAAAGAGGGGTTCAGTAAACCACGACCCAAAAAACGCCGCTGTAGTAATCTTTTGAAATCAAAAATATAACGTCACCGCGCCGGCGCGCCCGCCTCCGCCTCCTTCTTCGCCTGCTTCTCCTTCCGCGCGGCCAAGACCCCGCTGCGAATGCCTTGGAAGTGCGGCGAGCACCCCGAGCACTCGCACCCGCCCGCGTGCGGCTTCCCTCGCTTATCCGCGCCGCCGAACAGCGAGTCGTCCACGAAGTCGATGTACGGCGAGGGGCCGTCGTTGGCCAGGCCAATCTTCGCGGTGCCCTCCATGACGATGTCCTCCTCCGCGTGCGAGAACGGGTACGACCTGAACATGCCCGCGAACCCGTGGAGGCCGTACGCGGTGCCGAACAGAGAGAGCGCGGAGAAGAGCTCCCCGCCCGCGGACGACGGCAAGTTACCGAAGACGTCGACGACGGAGGCGTCGCCGCCGGCGGCGCCGGCGGCGGACGCGGCGAACGCGCACAGACACGCGAACCACACCGCCTTCGCGCCTCCCGCGACGAGCGCGACGTTCTTCAAGATCTCCGTGTTCCGCAGCGCGCCCTGACAGTGCGTGCAGTACTTCGTGTGCATCTCCCACGTGTCGAACAGCTTCGAGTGGTCGCGCTCGATCGGCGGCATCTCCGCGTTTTGCCCCTCCCACGGCACCGGCCCGTGCTTGCCGAACCACTGATAAAACATCACGGTCATCTTATCCGCGCCCGTCGGAATGAACACCTGGTCTTTCCACTTCTCCGCGAGCGCCTGCCCGTCCCCGTTCGCGATGATCTTCTCCTGCTGGTGGAGCAACACCATGTCCTGATGCAAAAACGTCGGACCCAGCACGTGCGTCATCCACGCCGGCGACGTCAAGGTGAACAGATTCAGCTTGAACCACCGGTGCTGCCGCACGCTCTCGCCCTCGCCTCGCTGGCACACGGTCGCGACAAAGTGCCGACACCACCCCGGTCGCGTCGGGACGCAGTAGTGCGACGTCAGGAACCGCGCCTGCTCGTGCCGCCAGTCGATCTTCAAGAGGCACGGCGGCTGAAAATCGTAGGACGTCTCCGCGTCGTACTTCCCGATCGTGTTGAAAGGAGGCACCGCGGGGTCGAGCGCGCATCTGAACCCAGCCTCCGCGGTCATCGGCCGCTCGACGACGCACTTGAACCCGGCGGGATCGTCGTACCGCGACCCGACGAGCGTGTGGTGCGACACGACCGCGTGCGCGGGGTCGATGGCGTTTTCAAAAAACGCCGCCCAGCCGTACGGCATGTCTCTCACCTGCCAGTGGTTCCGATACGCCCCGCCCGGGGCCTCGCCGTTCTTCCCGACGCCCTCGATCTCCGGCACGAGCAACGGCGGCGTCATCCGCGCCTCGATCTCGGCCTCTTTCCCGCCCTCGCCCCACGCCCAGACGAGTCCTTGCGCCTCCATCGTCGGGCGCGCAAACGCGCACGACCGCGGGTTCGACTTGACCCGCTCCTCTTCCTCGCGCGAGCTCGCCTGCGGCATGTCCGCGCACTTCCCGTCCGCGTCGAACCTCCACGCGTGGTACGCGCACAGAAGCGTGCCGTCGTCCTCGACGCGGCCTTCGGACAGCGGCGCGAGGCGGTGCGGGCACTTGTCCTCGAACGCGCTCCATCGCCCGTCGCCGTCTCTCCACACGACGAGATCGACGCCGAGGAGTTGCGTCGGGTGCGGCTTCGTCGCGTCGATCAGGTCGATCACCGCGACCGGGTACCACTGCTTCGTCCAGTTGAACGACCCCGCGGTGGGCGACGACCCGTCCGCGGCGGCTTTGACCATCGGCACGCGATCGGGCGTGATGCCGATGAGCGGGTTCCCCGCGGTCGCGTCGCGGTCGAGCTCTTCCGCGGAGATCGTCGTCCCTCCGGTCGCGCTGTCGCTCGACGTCGCCGTCGCGCTCGCGCGCGGCCGGGCGACGACGCGGCGCGCGGTGGCGGCGGCGCGGCATCGCGGCGCGGGCGCGCCCCGCGAGAGGGGGAGCGCGGCGGCGCCGAGGCCGTGCGTGAGGGCGTGCATCTCGAAGTGTCGACGTCGCTGCGTCGCGTCGCTATCCTTTCAGAGGCTCTGAGATCGCGCCTGACCGCCTGCGCCTGCCGCCACGCAACCGGGCCGGGCTCGCCCTACGTGACTTGATCGGCGAGAGCGGCGAAAACAACTTTCAAAACGCGGTTTAAAAAATGTTCTCCGGCTTCAGAGATGCCGATCAAAAAAGTGATTTACCGATGAAATTAGGCCCCCCATTTTTGGCACTTCCCGGAACTCGCGACACAAAACCACGATTTCTATCGTTAACGGCTCAAAGCCGTCTCGGGCCGTCGCGCTCCCCAACCCGGCTCGCGCACGCCCTCAACATGGCGGACGAAGCCCCCGCGGAAGTCCCGACGGACGATCCCGCGGAAGGCGGCGACGCGCCGACCGAGGCGATCGAACCGAAAGCGGCGTCGAAATGGGCGAAAGCGAAGTCGCTGACGAAGATGTCAACTCGACTGAAGCTCGGCGCGAAGGCGCTCGCGGCCGAGGAGGCAGCGGCCGCGGGCGGCGGCGGCGACGCCGCGCCCGCGGCGCCCGCGGAGCCGCCGAAGGCGCTCCTCCCCGGGTCGAAGTGGGCGAAGGCGAAGGAGGTGAAGACGATGGTCAACGCGACCATGGGAATGAAAAAGAAGACGTCGAAACCGCCCACGCCCGCGGGGTCGATACCGCCGTCCGAGGCTGGGGACGTGCCGAAGTACCCGGGCACGCAGTGGCTGAAAGCGAAAGCGAAAGTGGACGCCATCGCCGCGGTCGCGGGGGACCAGCCGATCGCGCCGTCCGCGGCGAAGCTGTCCGGATTAGCGAAGATGAAAGCCGGACTCGCGAAGATTAAAGCGGGCGACCGCGCCAGGACGCCGACGCCGGCGCCGTCCGTGCGCGAGCCGACGCCGCCGCCGGCGGACCCGGAGCCGGAGAACGTCGAGAACGTCCCGCCGCCGCCGGCGTACAAGTCCGCGGCGGCGGCGGCGGCGACGCAGATACCGCTCGCGGAGGTCAACTCGCGCATCGCCGCGTTGGAAGACCTGGCGAGGTACTCCCTCGGCGTCAGCGCCAACGCGGGCATCGGACAGTCGCTCGGCCCGAACGACCACGAGATTCGCGGCGGCAGCCGCGGCGGCCACGGCAACAACGGACGCGGCGATAACTACCACGGCAACAACGTCTTCAACGAGTTGAACGACCTCCGCGCGCGCCTCGCGAACGCGGACCCGCGCGCGTACCAGCAGTATTACGGCCACGAAGTCGCGCCCGCGCCGCCGCCGCCGCCGCCGCCGCAGTACCACCCGCCGCCGCCGCCCGCGGACACGGCCGCGGAGAGAGCGGAACGCGCCGAGCGCGCGGAGCGCGCGGAGCGAAGCGAACGCGCCGAGCGCGCGGACCGGATGATGATGATGATGTTCACCGGTAAAGTCCCGGGGCAGGCGGCGGCGGAGTCGCACGCGCATCACGGCGTGATGCAGGCGATGGAGGACGCGCGCGCGGCGGCGGCGGCGGCGATGCGCGCCGCGGACCAGGCGAACGTCAGCGCGGCCGCGGAACGCCGCGAGCGCGAGGCGCTCGAGGCTGAGATGCAGCTCTTACGCCAAGAACTCGCGCACGCGCAGCAAGTCAAGGCGCAGACGGAGGGCGACCTGATGCTCGCCGTCGACGACGCGGAGATGGTGCGGCAGTACCTCGCCGAGTCGCAACGCGCGGGCGCGGTGCAGCAGCAGATGGCGCAGCAGATGGCTTCGAGGCAGCCGACGCCGCAGGCGCACCGAGGACGGCCGCGGTCGCGGTCGAGGACGCGGGAGGACCCCATGGCGGCGCCGGTGAGTCGCGCGGCGTCGGAGACGCTCGCCGCCGCCGCAGAGGCGAAGCAGGCGCGTCCCGCACACTGGTTCCCATACGACCCCGTTCGCGTGGTGAACGCCATTCCTTAAGGACTTTCTCTTCCCGGCGTCTCTCTCCGTCCACCCCACGGTTTCAATATCCGACCGCGTTGCCTTTCAACTCCGCTTCTGACGCCTTTCAACTCCACCCCCAGATGCTCGAGGAGTTGAAGGGCGGACTGCGCGTGAGCATGGAGCATAATCGTCAGCTGCAGCAGGCGACGGCGGCGGCGCAGAGGGCGGCGACGGAGGCAGCGGCGCAGGCGGCCGCGGCCGCGAGACGCCCGCCGCCGCCGCAGCAGGAGGCGCGCCGGCCGCCGTCGCCGCAAATCTCTCGCGAGCGTCTCAGAGCCAGTCTTCCCCCGCAAAGCGCTGCGCGGCCCACCGCGAGGGCGATGATGAGCGGTGGACACGTGCCGCCGCCGCCGGAATACGCGACGCCGTCGCTTCGCCGCGCGAAACGTCACGTCGCGATGACGGACGAGCTCTCGCGCGCGCCGGAGACGCACTCGGTGCCGCCCGAGTACATGTCCGAGGGCGCGTTGGAGCGGGCGCGGCGGGAATACGCCGCGGATAAGCGGCTGGCGCTCGAGCGGCGGCGGCAGCGGATGCTCGTGGAGGAGGGGGTGCTTCAGGTGTGACGAGCGGTAGCGCGACGGTAGGAGCGCGTTATCGAGTGTACATACGTCACGACGCACACATCATAACCACCTTATCTACAGTATCATCACACGCGTCTCGCGCCCCCCTTCGGTAGTCTACGCACTCCGCCGCTGTTACTTTTCTGCTCATCATCAGTCCTGTCGAACGAAATGACAGCGCTCCGGGCACGTCCAGTCGGATCTGCAGTCTCCGACGCGCGGCGGGTTCGGCGACGCGCCCACCGGCGGCGCTCGTCATGCCGCGCGCGGGCGTCGTCCTGTGCGCGCTCGCGCTGCTGGCGGCGTCGCTGGGCGCCTCCGCGAAGGTCGCGACGTACGAAGGTGCGCGCGACGACCGCCCCGCCCATCCGCATCCTTCGAGGAATGAACGATGCGATGCGATGAATCAATCGTCGCGACGTCGCCGTCCCGCTGACCCGACCCTCGCGACCTCCCTACCCCCCCTCGCCCGGCCCGCGCGCAGAGTGCTCGAACGCGTACGACGCGCACGATCCCCCGTGTAAGAACAACGCGTCGCTGTGGACGTCGCGGAGCCCGCACCCGGCCAACTGCGCGCACTGCGTCGCCGCGGACGACGACGCCTCCCCGCGCGACGACGACGACGACGACGACGACGACGTCGGCGCGTGCCCCCGCGGATGGAGCGGCGTCGACTGCGGCGCGTGCACGTCCGTCGCCTCGTGCCCACGGAACAGTCGCGGCGTCGCCGCGAAAGGGTGCACGAGCGCGTGCGTCGTCCCCACGCGAGAGGAGCTCCTCCTCCCGAACGGCGGGGGCGGGGGCGGGGACGACGCGTGGGAGCGAGGAAAGATGTTTTCGTGCGCGTGCGGTGGCGACGCCGCGACGGATCCGTATTGCCGCCTCCAGAAGGACACGTCGTTCCTCGTGCACGTCCGCGCGGCGTCGAACGACGGCGGCGATGCGAATTCGGGAACGAAAACGACAACGGAAGACGTGAAGGCGTTACCGTTGACCATACACATGCGCGAGTACGGCGGCGTCCCGAACTTGAATTACAGCGGCGACCCGCGGAAGTACGACTACGCCTCCGCGGCGGTGTGGGACGCGAACTTCACGCGATGCACTTGGAAGGTGACGCAGTGCCTGGATCCGGTGCCGTCCATGGAGACGTGCGTGGTGTACGACTGCCCCGCCGGCGCGACGAGATGCCCGCCGCCGGACGTGGCGCCGTGTCCGGGGAGGAATATTCTCGGGTGCGGCGACGTCCCCGACGCCGACTACGCGACGCGGTACTGGCAGCACCCGTGTAATCCGCTCGTGACGCCGCAGGATAAGGGCATCACGTTCTGGTGCCGGCTCAACGGCACGTCGGCGGCGAATACGACGGTGGACGGCGCGCCGTCGCACTCGTGCTACTGGACGCAGCCGGGGGTGATCCCCGCGTTCGCGGTGACGTGTCGCGTCGGCAACTGCGTGTACGACGACGACGACGACGGCGGCGGCGACGGCGATCTGTGCCCGATCGGCGACGTGACGCCGCCGGAGTATTGGACCGGGGATCTCCTGACGAGGATTGGAATGACGTGCGTCGCCGCGTCGCTCGTGCTCGCGGCGGCGGCGTACGTGCGCGCGGAGTCGAGGTCGACGTATTCGCGCGTCCCCGCGGAGGAGGCGATGCGAGAGGCGACCGCGCCGAGAGCGCCGGGGACGCGGCGACCGACGCACGTGCGCACGCCGTCGAGGGTGTCGGAGAGCCGTCGCGATGGTCGTCGCGCGCGGACGTCGGAGATGGCGGCGGCGGCGGGCGAAGTCGCGGTCGCGGCCGACGACGCCGACGACGCGGAGTGGACGATCGCCCCGAGGGTCGTGAGCTGGGAGAACGTGCGCGTCGGCGTTCGGCGCGGCGGCGGCGGCGGCGGCGGCGGCGGCGGCGGCGCGACGAAGAAGATCCTTCGCAACGTCTCCGGGTTCGCCGGGCGCGCGGACGAGGAGTACGTCGACGCGATGGCGACGGACGCGCGCGGAGGCTCCCACCCGTCATCGCCGTCGCGCTCGCCGCGGCGTCGCGTCCGGGACGACGACGGCGGCGGCGGCGGCGGCGGCGGCGGCGGCGTCTTCGCGATCCTCGGCCCCTCCGGCGCGGGAAAATCCACGCTTCTCGACTTTCTCGCCGGCCGCGGCTCGCGCCACCATCACACCATCTCGCGGGGCGTCGTGCGCGTCGACGGCCGCGTCGTCGCTCCCGAGGAGATGCGACGCGTCTCCGGGTACGTCCAGCAGACGGACGTCCTCCCCGGGACGAGCACGGTGTGGGAGCACCTGCTCTTCAACGCGATGCTGCGGCTGCCGGGGGACGTCGGGAAGGACGAGACGTATCGCGTCGTCGTCGGGTGGATGCGCGAGCTCGGGCTGACGAAGCTCGCGCACGCGCACATCGGGGACGCGTTCACCCGAGGGCTCAGCGGCGGGGAGAAGCGAAGGGTCAGCGTCGCGACGGAGCTCCTGACGAGCCCCGGGGTGATGTTCCTGGACGAGCCGACGACGGGCCTGGACGCGACCAACGCGGCGAAAGTCGTGGACATCCTCGCCGGCCTCGGCGCGCTCGGCGTGACGATCCTGCTCTCGATCCACCAGCCGCGACCGGACATATTCCGCCTCCTCGACCGCGTGTGCGTCCTCTCGAGCCACGGCGGCGTCGTGTACTGCGGACCGTCGGACGCGGCGGAGTCGCACTTCGCCTCTCTGCCGTACGTGATCTCGCCGCGGGAGACGTCCGTGCACATCGCGGACTACGTGCTCGACGTCGTGTTGCGGAGCACGGACGAGGACGTTCGCAGGATGATCGACGACTTTCGGATCTCGCGGATACGCGCGCGGAACGACGCGTACGTTCGAAGACTCGCGAGGAGGGTCGAGGAGGAGGAGGAGGAGGAGGAGGGCGGCGGCGCGACGGCGATGCGAACGCCAAAGTCGCGGCGGCGACGCGTCGCCGCCTCGCGCGACGCCGAGAGAGCGCTCTCGCGGAAGCACGTCGCGCCGTTCGCGAAGCAGACGCGCTTGCTGTGTGGCCGGCTGCTGCGCAACCTCGGGCGGCACCCGTTTCTGCTCGCGATTCACCTCTTGGGCGCGTTCGCCGTCGCCGTCGGCGTCGGGTCAATCTTTTACGACGTCGGCTCCGACCAGGGCGGGATTCAAAACCGCATGGGATCGCTCTTCTTCATCCTCCTGTACCTCACGCTCATGTCGCTGTCGTCGCTCCCGGTGTGGCGCGAGGACCGGCTGCTCTTCTTGCGAGAGCGAAGCAACGGCGCGTACGGCGTGAACGCGTACTTTACGTCCACGCTGCTGTTCGACGTGTTGCCCATGCGCGTGTTGCCGCCGTTTTTTTTCGGCCTCATCACGTATCAGATGATCGGCCTCAACGAGGGCGACGAGGACTGCCTCGCGTGGTTCGTGCTGACGCTGATCGTGACGAACGTCGCGGCGACGTGCATGTGCATGGCGATCGGCGCGGCGTCGCGGTCCGTCGCCTCCGCGAACGCGATCGCGTCGCTCTGCTTCCTCGTCGCGGCGCTCTTCGGCGGTTTTTTGTTGAACAAAGACCAAATACCGCGGTACGCGCGATGGATCGCCGCGGTGTCGTTCGTGAACTACGGATACGAAGCCCTCGTGGTCAACGAGTTCGCGGATAACCCGCGGACGTTCACGCTGACGTCCGGATGGAACAGCACGACGCTGCCGAACGAGGTGCCCGTGCCGGGGGAGAAAGTCTTATCGACGTTTGGGTTTCACGTCGCGGAGGTGTCCCCGGACGTCGCCGTCGTGTGCGCGCAGGCGGCGTTCTTCGCGTGCGCGTCGTACGTTATGCTGCGAAACGCGGAGAGAGAGACGGCACCTACGTGGAGCGGCGCGTGGCGCGCGTGCGCGCGGTTCGTCGGAGAATGTTGGAGAAGGCGGTATTTGGTCGAAAAGAGAAGCGCGGCGCGCGCGACGACGACGACGGACGAGGAAGAGAGCATGCTGCCGTCGTCGGAGTTCACCGTCGCGTACGACAGCGACGAGTACTCGAGCGACGACGACGACGGCGAAGAGGAGGAGGATGAGATCGAGACGCTCTTAGACGAGGCGCCGATGGAGCCTGACGCGACGCCGTCCGCCGACGAAACCGACGAGCCCGCCGGGGACGCCCCCGGCGACTTGCACCGGCGCGCGAACTCTCTTCTGCACGACATCGACGAAGAGCACGCGGTGTCGCCGCACGACGGCGCGCGTAATGCGGCGGTCGCGCCCATGGCGCTTCGTCTGCTGCGAGACGGAGGCGGATCCCCCGGAGGTGGTGGTGGTGGTGGTGGTGGTGGTCGCGAGGACGACGATGATTCGCGGCCGCGGCGGCGACGCGTGTTGACCTGGGAAGACATCACCGTGAACCTCGCGCCGTCGAAGGGCGGGCGAAGGATACTCCAGAGCGTGTCCGGGATCGCGGGCGCGACGACGGGCGGGTGGAACAGCCTGATCGCGTCGCCATCGCGCGGCGGCGGCGGGATGGGGGAAAGACGCGCGGACCTCTTCGCGATCCTCGGTCCCTCGGGCGCGGGCAAGACGACGCTTCTCGACGTCCTCGCCGGGCGCCCGAGCCCCGGCCACGTCATCACCGGCGACGTCGCGCTGGACGGCGAGCGAATGAGCAACTCGGAACTTAGACACGTCAGCGGGTACGTGCCCCAGGACGACGTCCTCCCCGGGACGAGCACGGTGTGGGAGCACCTGATGTTTCACGCGGCGTTGAGGCTGCCGGGCTCGGTGGATCGCAAGCGTCTGCGGAGCGTCGTGTGGCAGACGATGCGCGACCTCGGGATCACGAAGCTCGCGCACGCGCACATCGGGGACGCGTTCACCCGAGGGCTCAGCGGCGGGGAGAAGCGAAGGGTCAGCGTCGCGACGGAGCTCCTGACGAGCCCCGGGGTGATGTTCCTGGACGAGCCGACGACGGGCCTGGACGCGACCAACGCGGCGAAAGTCGTGGACATCCTCGCCGGCCTCGGCGCGCTCGGCGTGACGATCCTGCTCTCGATCCACCAGCCGCGACCGGACATATTCCGCCTCCTCGACCGCGTGTTAGTCATGTCGAGCGACGGGAGGGTCGTGTACAGCGGACCCTCTCTCGACGCGGAGGCGCATTTCGAATCCATGCGAAACGTTCCGCGAAAGCCGGAAGCGGTCAACATCGCGGACTTCATGCTCGACGTCGTCTTATCCGCGGACGACGACGATATCGACGCGATGATCGACGACTTCGAGAAGAGCGACGTGCGCGCGAACGGGCGCAACATGACGCACACGTTACGCGTGCGATGCGAAGACGGTGACGGCGGCGGCGACGACGACGACGGCGGCGACGACGCGGCGGCGACGCCGCTGACGAAGTACGTCGCGTCGTACCCGCGGCAAGTGCGCGCGCTTCTGCGACGCATGGTGAGGAACGTCCGCCGGCACCCGTTCTTGATCCTCCTGCACTTCGTCGCGACCGGGGTCGCGTCGTTAGGCCTCGGCGGCGTGTTCTTCGCCGCGGGAAAAGACACGGGCGGGATACAAAACCGCATGGGATGCCTCTTCTTCATCCTCCTGTACCTCGCGCTCATGTCGCTGTCGTCTCTCCCGGTGTGGCGCGAGGATCGGCTGCTCTTCTTGAGAGAGCGCGCGAGCGGCGCGTACGGCGTGAACGCGTACTTCACGTCCGTGGTGTTGTTCGACGTCCTCGTGTTGAGAGTTTTCCCGCCGATGTTTTTCACGGTCGTCACGTATCCGCTCGTGGGTTTACACGGCGGGTCGTTTCTCGTGTACCTCGCGCGCGCGTCGTGGTTTACGCTCGTGAACGTGCTCGCGAACGTCGCGAGCAGCGCGCTGTGCATGGCGATCGGGATCGTGACGCCGTCGAACGCGGTCGCGAACGTGTGCGGGTTGATGGCGATTTTGTCGTCCGTCCTGAGCGGCGGGTTCCTCTTGAACAAGCAAAACGTCTCGGGATCGAGCGTTTCGTCGTCGTCGTCGGCGGCGGCGGCGGCGAGTCACCGCTCCCCCGCGAACGTGTTCGTGAAAGTCCTCACGAAGACATCGTTCGTGAACTACGCGTACGACGCGCTGCTCGTCAACGAGTTCCTCGACGCGGGGACCTTTCGCTTCACCCCCAAGTTCACGGACGCCGCGGGGCAGAACGAAAACGCCGGCGTCGGCGTGGACGTCTCCGGGAGAGAGGTGCTCCAGTTTTTCTCGTTCGGGGACACGCGAGCGGCGATGCGATACGACGTGTGCGTGCTGTGCGCGATCGCCGGCGCGTACCTCGCCGCCGCGTTCGTGCTGCTCAAGGTTAGCGTTCGACGGTCCGGCGCCGGGCGAGGGTAGACGACGATCGTCGTCCATCCGATCGCGGCTCGGTCGCTCGTCAGTCGGCGGCGCGGAAGTACACGCGTTCTTCCGACGCGACGTAGTCACAGTATTTGAAATCCTTAGAATGCCTGTTATGAAATCAACTGCGTGTGCGTCTAAAATGAATGCCGACCAAAAAATTGAATCATGCCGCCGCCGTCGGCCCTTTCCTCCCCTTCTTCTTCCCCCTCGGCGTCGTCTTCTTCTTCTTCTGTCCGTCCACGTGCGACATCGTCCGCAGCGGCGTCAGATTTTTCACGACGACGAGGTGCTCCGCCTCGCTGCACCACGCCCGGGTGTCCACCTCCCACCCGTCCGCTCTCATGTGCTCGAGCGCGCTCTCCACCTCCCTCCCGACGCGAATCGCGTCGTCCCAGCTCTTGCACGACGAGAAGTCCACGAGCTCCGCGGGGTCGACTTCCTCGTGCAGCGAGTTCACGTTGAGACCGAGGTGCACCATCTCCTCCACGGACATCATCCTGACGGAGTAATCGCCGTTCGGACGCGCGGGGAGCGCTCTCCCGAGGTCGTCCTCGAGCCACCTCCAGTCGCCGTCCACGTCCTGCGCGATGTGAAGCTTGTTGTCCGGTTTGTACGGGCTCCCGGAGAAGCCTTTGAACGAGTTCCCGCCCGTCTCGTCGTCGTCGTCGTCGTCGTCGTCGTCGTCTGAGTCCTCCGCCGCCTCTTCGCCGCCGAGCATTCGAATCACGCGCTCCACCTCGCTCAGGTCCATGACGCCGCAGTTCCGGACGCGGCGGTCGTCGTCGTACGCGTTCATGTCGATCTCGTCTTCGGACTCGCCCTCGCCGAGGCACAGGAAGTCGAGCGCCTCTTCGTACCCCGTCGCTCCGGGGGCGAGGCAGTACACGCGCACGTACTGCGACAGCAGGTCGCTCACGGTGTCCGGCACCTTCGCGACGCAGAGCTCCTTGTACTGCTCCACCGCGTGGACGTACTCGATGATTTTGTCCATCTTCTCCTCGCCGTGCTCCATCTCTGCGAGGTCCCACTCCTTTTCTTCGATTATGAGCTCCATGCGCTTCTTGTCGAGCGCGAACTTTTCATCCTCTTTTTTATACGGCGACGGCGCGACGACGTTGTTCCTCGCGTCGTCGCTCTCGCTCGCCTTGACCGCCTTGCCGCCCGGGGCGCCGTCGATTTTCTCCGTTCCCGCGGGGGTAACGATCGGATCCGAAGCGTTACCGTTACCCGGCTTCGACTTCTTCTTCTTCGTCGCGTTCGCCGCGTTGGCGTGCAGCGGGTGCGACTTTTGCTCCGCCGGTTTCGCGGGCGGCGGGACGCCGGTGTCGTTCGTCTTCTTCCTCCCCGCGCCGCCGCCGGCGGCGGCGATCCCGTTCTTCGTCCTGGACGACGCCATCGATGGCTCCGGCGGCGGCGGCGGCGGCATGTCCGACGCAGCCTTCGGCGGGCGCTTGGGTTTCATGCTCTCGAGATCGTACTCCGCCGCGGGGTTCTGCTGCTGCGACGTCCGCGGGAGATCGCGCGCGTCGGAGTCGTCGCGCGCGGCGCCGCCGCCCATGGAGGACGACGCGCGCGCGACGACGGAGACGCCGCGGGAGCGCGCGGAGGACGACGCGCGCGCGACGACGGAGACGCCGCGGGAGCGCGCGGAGGACGCCGCCTCGCGGCGGCGCGGCGCGCGCGTCGTCGTCGCGTCGAGCGACGCGGACGGCGACGACGTGGTTGTTGTTATTCCCACGCCGCGACGCGGGAGGCGCGCGGGCGTCGCGCGCGCGCGCGATCGCGACCCGGAGGTGGACGCGCGCGCGGCGACGCGCGCGTGCGTCTCCGAGCACGCGCTCGCGGAGGTGGCGTGCATCGCGTCGAGCGCGCGCGTCGCTGGCGCTCACGCGCGGCGTCCGATCGCTTCGGCGACGACGCGACGCGCCAAAAAGAAGCCCGCGTCGAAAAGTCGCGCGGTTCCCGCGCGCGATCGAACGGCGCGACGACGGCGGCTTCACGCGGTCGATCGGCCTCGTTCGCTCGGGGACGCGCCGCGGGAGAGCCTAGAAGGCGGTCGCGGAACGCGCGTCGCAGTGAGGGCGCGGCGTGTGCACGGCGCGCGTCGGGATTGGCGACGCACGCGCCCCGTGCTGAAGGTCGACTTCTCGTGTTCGCAAAATCTCTTCGAGAATATTTTTTTTCGCGGCTTGTGATTGGCTGCGACGGCGGGATATTTTTCGGTTTTGAAGCACTGACTCCACAAGGTGCCAAGTGGATTCGTACGCGAAAAACTGTCGTATGTCTTTTTACCCTCGCGACTACACGTGTAATAAGTGTACGAATCACGATTTTTTTTTATCGCGGTCTGGTCGGTCGGCCGAACACAAAAAAAAGCGAGGTGACTTAAGCAAAGCGTGTGTGTCGACGCGCGATGAAGAGGACTCGGGACGACGCCGACGATCTCGACGCGCGCGACGGAACGGAACGCGGAAGAACCGCTCGCGAGGCGGGAGAGAGAGAGAGAGAGATGCGAACGATCGGATCGGATTGGATTCAGACGAACGATGTATTTCAGACTCGTCGTCTCTCTCGCGGCGCGCGCCGCGAGACCCGCCCGCCCCGGCCGCGCCGCGCGTCGCGACGCCTCGCTCGCTCGATCGCGCCTCGTCGTCGTCGTCCGCGCGTGTCCGTCAGTCCATGCTCAGACACTTGTCGTAATACTTCCCCGCGGTCGCGAACTCCCCGCGGTCGGTGTAACAATCCCCGAGCATCCCGTACACCGCGCCGTCTCCGTCCCGGACGGCGGCGTCGACGACGTCCTTCGCCTCCAACACCGCGATCGCCGCGGCGAGATCGCCCTTGCGAATCAGCGCGGTCGCGACGCCCTTCGCGACGCTCAGCGCGCTCGCGTCGTCGCCTCGCTCGACGAGCAACGCGGCCTCGTTGAACGCCTGGACGGCGCCGTCGAGGTCGTCCTCCTTGAGCTTTCTTTTTCCCTCGGAGAGCTTCCTCGACGCGGGTCCGTCGGGATCGCACGCGTCCTGCTGCTCTTCGTACTTTTGCATCATCGCGCGCAGCTTCGCGTTGATCTCCGCGATCTCGAGACGGCGCTTCTTCGCGAGGATGCCGTTGTTCGCCGCGCCGATGAGCGCGATCGTCTGCAACGCCGCGAAGTAGCCCCAGTTGGCGCGGCAGAAGGCCATGAACGGCGAGACGTCGTCGGACGCGACCGCCGGCGCCTTCGTCGCGGGTCTCGCCGCGACCGTCGCGACGAGCGACGCGGTGGACGGCGTCGGGGGCGGGAGCAGGGACGCCGCGGAGGCGTCGACGCGCGAGACGGAGGCGTCCGAGGCCCCGGACGCGGCCGCGCGCGCGGCGACGGGGCGGCGGATCTGCCGACGTGTCGAGAGGGCTGCCTTCCTCGACGCGACGGCGCGCGCGCGCGCGGAGGAGGAGGAGGACGCGACGAGAGCGCTCATCGCGACGAGTCGACGACGACGACGACGACGACGCGCGCGCGCCTCTCCGTGACGATCGCAAGCGCTACTGCGGCTCGGACGGACGCGCCTCGTTATCGCGTCTGGATTTCGTTATCGCGTCTGGATTTCGTCGCCAGTCAGCTGCAGTCGGCGCCGGTTTCGGTCCGAACGGCCGCTCGCTATCTACGCTATTCCTCTATCGCGCGGCGGCGCGCGGCGCGCCGACCGGCGTCTCGCGCGCCGCCGCGCGCGGGACCAACCGCTTGTGATCCGTCAAGAACCGCAGCTTGAACGGCCCCGCGTTCGAGGCGTTCGCGCGCGCGCCGCCGCCGCCGCCGCCGCCGACGCCCGCGCGCCGCGCGTCCCATCCCCCCGACAACATCAACGCCCGGTTCGTTATCCTCCGATCGATGCTGCGAACCATCTGCGCGTCGTACGACGCCGCCATCGCGCCGCACACGAACGCGTACCGCGCCTCGTCCGTCAGCTTCGACAGCGTGCACTGAGGGAGATACAGCTCGCTCTTCAGGGTCGTTCCATACAAGCGAACGTCGGGGTGGAGTTGAAAGGCGTCAGTTGGAGTTGAAAGGCGTCGAGGGCGGGGATTGAAAGCGAGGGATGATCGGAGAGAATCGCCGAGCAAAGTCCTTAAGGAACGGCGTTCACCACGCCGACGGGGTCGTATGGGGACCAGTGTATAGAACGCGCCTTCACGCAACACGGCATGACGCACCACAACGCGTCGGCGCGCCGAGCCATGTCCATGCTCTCCTTGTTCGCCTCGTTGCACCCGTGAAGCGCGAGCACCAAGCTTCTGTCGTTCACGCGCGACCGTATCGCGTCGATCTCACCCTCGATATGCGCGAGGTTGGGAAGGAGCGAGGGAGAGAGCGGCGGGAGGAGCGCGTTCGCGCGCGCCTCCGCGGCGGCGGTCGCCGCGGCGTGCGACGCGACGACGGCGTCGCTCGCGCCTCTCCTGTGCGCCCTCGCCGCCGCGTCCGCGCGCGCCCTCGACGCCGTCGCCGTCGCCGCCGCCGCGTCGCCCGGCATCGTCCCCATCCCGCTCGCGTCTGGTGTTTCGTCCGACGGGGACCCCTCCACGACGTGAGAGAACGGCGGGGGCGTCCCCGCGTCCTCCGCGGCGACAAACGCGCCGAACGCTCGGACGTAGACGTCGAAGGCGCGTCGACGCACGCGGTCGCACGCGACGACGCGGCGGCTCGGAAACGCGTACGCGACGAGGACGCCGACGAGGCCGTGCCCGCACGCGAGGTCGAAGAACGTCTCGACCTCGTTGTACGTCCCGCCCGCGTGCTCCGCGGTCGCTAAGAACGCGAGGAGGAGCTTGAACGCTTCCACGGATTCGATGAGCTCTTTCACGCGCGTGTACTTCGGCGCCGCCGCCTCCACGAGCGCGACGATATCGCGGAGCTCGGGCAGGCCGTCGATGGCGTCGTGGAAGTAACGCATCACGCGCGAGCGTTGATACGGCGTCAAGTCCGGCAGCGTCGTGTGCGTGCTGAGGCACGACGCGCGCATCGGAAGCGCGCGGAGTTCGTTCATGTTCCACGCGCGGTCTCTCTCCGCCTGTTCCGCCGCCGCCGCCGCCGCCGCGTCCTCCTCATCCTTCTCCACCCCCTGCGTTCCCGCGAGAAAGTGTTCGTCCATCGCGGGCCCGACCTCCATAGACGCTTTCAACGGCCGCACCCCGCCCGGGGTTTTCGCGCTCGTCGGCGTCGTGAGCGTCGCGTCGCGCAGGCGCTCGCGCGCGGCGGCGGCGACGTCGGGATCGCTCCACTCCGCGACCGCGAACCCGCGATGCCGTCTGTTGCGGTCGCGCTTCAGCATCGGGCGCGCGGGGCCGAACACGGCTACGGTCACGCGCACGAGCGCGCCGTCGCCGAGCTCGAGACCGCGGCACTTCTCCGTCAGCGCGTCGCGCATCGCGTCCGGGTCGACGTCCGTGGCGAGGTTTCCGAGAAGGATCTTACTCGACGGCGGCCGCGCGGGCGCGAGGTCCTCCGGGTCGCCGAACCCGGGCGCGGCCGCGCGCCACCCGCCGCCGCTGAACGCTTTCATTTTCGTCGTCGCGACGCCGTCGCCGTCGCCGTGCGGGGTCGTCTTCCTCGGTCGCTTCGGCAGCGCGGACGGGAACGGCGGCGGAGCGTCCGCGTCCGCGTCGTCTTTCGCGACCCATCCGCCGCCGCCGCCGAGCTTCGCCGCGGGGCGCGCGGAGTTCTTCACGCGCTCGAACCGGCGTAACCCCATCGCGCGCGCGGAGCCGCGGCGAACGGCGCGAGCGAGGAGGCGTGCGCTCGCGCGCGGAGGAGTGCGCGCGCGCGTGTGAAGATTACGTGTGTGGAGTGAGCACGCTCGTCGCGATCGTTCACGACAGTAGTCTTCGCGCAAACGTTTCGCTCGGCGCGCGGGTCGTCGGCGCGCGGCAGGGCGAGCACCGCACCGCGTCGGAATACGAGCACAGTAATACACCCAATTAATAACCAATTAATACAGTTCGTCGACGCGATCTAGAGCAGCGCACGCGGACACCACGCCAGCCGCGACGCGCCGCCGACCGCCTTCGCGCTCGCGTCGACGTCGCCCTTCACCCCTGCACGATGGCGCTCCTCGCGAGCTGAAGCATCCGCTTCTCCCGCCGCGCTCGGAACGACCTCTGAATGTGCAGCACCACGTCCTCCTGCGTCGCGAATTTCTTCAAGTTACTCCTTCGCCTGGCGAGCTGCTCGGTGATCATCTCCATCGTCTTCTTCGTGTGTTTCCCGAGCAGCTCCGCGCGGAAGTGGTCGCTCATCTGCGCCGTCACCGCCTGAGGCGCGTTCCGTGGGAAACGAGTTCATCGGTCAGTTGAAAGGGACCCACGGGATCATGTGTTGAAACCGAGCGGTGGGTGAACGACGTGTGTATAGAATGACGCACCTGAAGCGGGAGGATGACGTAACCGCCGAGGAGCAACGCCTGCAGGAGGAAGGCGATCTTCAGGATATACGTCCCCGGCCCTCCGTAGTAGCACTCGTAATCGTCTCCGTAGCCAACCTCCCACAGGCCGAAGACCATCGCGCCGAGACTGAACGCCTGCTGAAATAGCGCCAACACGAACGCGTCTTCGATGAACTTCGGGTTTCGGAACCAGTACACCTCGTTGGACATCTTCCCGCCCTCGTCCTCGACTTGAAGGATCGTCTTCACGGTCATGTTGAGCTTGACCGCGAGCGCGCAGCACAGTAAGAAGTTCATCGCGGAGACGCCGAAGGTGACCCATATCGCCGGGCCCCACGCCAGGATCAACGCCGCCGCGATCGCCCACCGACCGGGGGACATGCCTAGCGTTTCGGAGAGGTTTTGCTCGAGGCAGTGCTCTAAGAATTGCGCGAAGTCAAACTTCCGCGAGCGAATGTTGTGCGTCCGCACGAACAAGAGCTCGAAGCATATCAACGTCGTGTTCGGGACCGTGATCCCGAGCGTCTCTTTGAACCTAGAAAAGGGATCCTCGCCGGGGTACAGACGCTCGTACAACTTCTTCTTCATGACCCCCTTGTTGTCGTCCTCGACGACGTCGATCTGGCCTTTCAGCGCGAGCTTCGCTTCGACGTGCTTCGCTTCGACGTGCTTCGTCGTCGGGATCCGCACGATGACGTCGCGCGCGTCGGCGTTGGCGTTGGCGTCGGCGGCGGCGTCGGACGCGTCCGCGCCCGGGGTCTCTTTCTCGTTCGACTTGCCCTTCATTGACGTCGCCTGAACGATGCACCGCATCGTCTTCTCCATGTGTTCGCGCCTGTTCTTCAGCATCAAGTTCACGCGCTTCCGCCCGAGGTACAGCGTGAACGCGCACGCGGAGATGTGCGAGATCGCCATGAAGAATATGAACCCGTGAATCTGGTGCAACGTGCTCGCGCTCAAGAACGGTTCTTCCCCGTACGCGCAGTTCTCCTCCGCGTACGCCAGCCCTTTCCCGAGGAGCGCGCGTCGTCGCTTGGAATACGAACTATAGGTATCGCACATCTGCCAATCGTCGTGGAACACCGTCCCGGTGCTCACGCAGGTGTTCGCGAGGATGAGCTCCTCGAACAGCATCAAGAACAGGGACACGGAGCCCAAGAGGAAGAACTCTTCCTCGGCTTTGTGAATCACCGTCTGCATCGTCTTCGACCGGTGCCGATGCTTGAGGTAGTGCACGAACTTCTCGATCAGGATGGAGAGCACGGCGAAGATGACGAACCCGACGAACAGCGCCCAGGAGTCGGTCTCGTGGAACTTGCGTCCGGTCCCCATGACGCGCTCGCGACGTCGGTCGCGGGTCTTCTACTCGACTCTGGAGGACCTGGAGAGTCGCGCGCTCTGTCTCCGTGAAGATCTCTCGCGCCCCGCCCACTGGACGGCAGCATGCACATGCAATCGTGACTGCTGACGCTGAGCCGCCAAACGGACTCTGGACTGCGAACAGCAGTTTTTAATTTGATGATGATGCTGTGATAACTAGATTTCCATACGAAAGTACGCGAAACGAGTAGTACAACGGAGCGGATTTACGAACGCACTTCACGCGTTCTCGCGCATTCCCGCGCTAGCTAGATAGGTTGCGACAGCGAGACGACGCGCGCGCTCGCGTCACACGACGCCGCGCGAGGCACATCCCGGGAACGTCGCGCCCGCGCGCATCGCGTCGCCCGCGCGGCGCGAAGAACCCGTCCGTCCTCCGTCCGACCTCGAGAGAGACGAGTTCGAAGCGCGGGGCGAATCCTGCCTGCAGTTTCCTGCTCGCTGCTGAGCTGAGAGGGACTGATTGATTTGGATTGGTGCGGACAGGGATGGCGACGCGCCGCGGACTGCGCGCGATCGCGCTCGCGGGATGGAAGCAGTGCGCCGCGATCGCGCCCGGGGCGGACGCGATCGCGTGCGCGTCGCGGAGCTCGACCCCGCTCTTCGCGCGAGGGATCGTCTCGGTCGCGCGCGCGCGAGGCGACGAGGGTTGGTGGAATCGCCCGTCCGCCGAGCGGCGGTCATATATTTTGTCGAACGGACACCGCTCGTCGTTCGCGTCGAGCGCGGCGCGACCGAGGGACTTCTCGTCCTCCGCCGTCGTCGAGGGCGACAAGAAGAGTAAGGATGATGACGAGGAGAAGAAGAAGAAAAAAACGCGCAGGGAGAAGGACCTCCTCCTGCGGGAGGGCGTGAACGAGAACATCTTCGCCGCGCTCCTCGGGGTGCGTCCCTTCGCGATTCTCTCGCGTTCAACATTCTCAATCATTCATTCATCCCTTCCTTCCTCGTTTTCCCGCCCCGTCTGACCCCCCCCTCCCCGCCCCGCCCGCCCGCCCGCCGCCGCCCGCGCGATGAATCTTATAGAACGTCAGGTCCGTCGCCGTGAACGAGGCGCTCATCGAACGGAAGCTGACGCACGATCACATCACGGACGTCGAGTTTCTCGAGATTCTCGTCGAGCACGGCGTGTCGACGAACGAGGAACAGATCGAAATCTCAGACGCGCTCGAGAAGGCTGGCATCATCCTGCGTCTGCACGGCGTCGTGTACCTCGACGCCGCGGAGATCACGAAAGAGGTCGTGCGCATGTTACCGCGCGTCCCCGCGCGCGTGTTCGGGCTCACCCAGGAAGAGCTCGCGCAGTTGGAGCTCGATCACGACGAGATGAAAAACGAGTACGAAAAAGCGGTGCAGTCGGCGCGGTTCAAGACGAACGGCGTCGTCGCCGTCGGTTTCCTCGCCATGGTGTTTCAGCTCGGGGTGTTATTGCGGCTGACGTATTTCGAGCTGTCGTGGGACGTCATGGAGCCGATAGCGTTCTTCCTCGGGATGCTTAACAGCTTGCTCATGTACGTGTACTTCATATTCAACCGGAAAGATTTCTCGCTTCGCGACTGGACCAAGAGCTTGGAGGAGAAATACAAGAAGAAGATGGGAAAGTCAAACGAGGCGAGGTATAAGATGTTGAGTCGGCGGTTACGGCGGTGACCGCGGGGGTGACCGCGGGGTCGCCTGGGGTTCGTAGCGTTGCAGGTTGACAACACTAGACTAACTTACATCTAATCTAATTTACACCTGCAAGTAAAACGTCGAAAGTTTTCGGACCAGCTGACGGACCCTTCCGTTCGCGTCCCTGGTCACTTCTCTCGCGCCCGGCGCGATGTCCGCGCACGTCGTCGCCTCGAGGAGCGTCGTCGTCGTTGCGACGACGCGTCGCGCTCGCGCGCCCGTCTCCGTCCGCGCGACGACGACGCCGCGCGAGCGCGCGTCGACGAGATCAACGTCATCATCACCCGAGGATGGCGACGACGCGACGACGACGCGTCGCGCGAGAGCGACCGCGTGCGCGGCCGCGTGCGCGCTCGCGCTCGCGTCTTCCCCGCTCGCGTCCGTCGCGGCGGGCGCGGAGTCGACGACGATCGCAGAGTTCAACGCGTCCGGGATCGTCTTCAAAGACGCTGTCAACGTGGTCGCGCTGAGAGACCCAGACGTCTCGGGGGTGACGTTATACCTCTCGGATTTCTCCAGAAGCCTCAGCGCGAAAGCGAAGAGCGGGGACTTCTTCACGGAGCCGTCGCAGACGTCGTTGGGGTGCGTCCGCGCGGAGACCGTGCGCGTGGACGGCGACATCGCCGGATTCCAAGGCAAGGAGCTCTTCAGCGAGCGAAAGAACATCAATTTTCTCAACCAGAAAAACTTGAAGGTTCGCCGCGTCTTCGACGCGGCCAATGACGTCGTGCTCTACGTGTCGTACAGCACGCGAACGGCGAGCAGCTCGAAGGACGACGGCCCGAGCGCGGGGCAGTACAAGACGTCGGTGTGCGCGATACAGCTCAAGCCGGGGGAGGCGACCGGCGGGAGCGCCGCGCCCTCGTAGACGACTCTTCGCGAGCGTCAAAGGTATAAAATGTAATTAACGCGTCGTCGACCAGACGGACGCCGGCGGCGACGCGCCGGCGCCCGCGCGTCTCGCGCGCTCGTCCATCACACCGCGAGCGGCTCGTCCTCGACCTCGCCCGCGCCCGCGTCGCCGCTCGCCTCCGCGGTCTCCCGCGTCTCCCCGAGCCTGTCCCGGAACGGCGACGGCGGCGCCGGGAGCTTGAACCCCAGCCCGCCGTCCGCCGCGTCCGAGATGTCGTCGTCCTCCTCCCCGCTCGCCGGCTCGTTCGCTTTACGTATCCTCAACACGTCCACCTCCACGAGCAGCGGCTCCTCGCGGTGGTTCGCGAGCCGCCGACTCGCGCCGAACGACGGCGCTCTCGGTTTCACGTCGTCGTTCACCCACCCCGCGTTGGGGGGCACGAGTATCCTTCGCTTCCCGCCCTCTCGCATCCCGTACAATGCGGGCGAGACGCCTCGAGGCATCCCGTCGGAGCCCAGCGCGAAGACGTACGGCTCGCCGACGTCGTCCTGTCGACGCGCGCGGAAGGAAGGAGGGAAGATGATTGGTCGGTTGGTTCGATGATTCGATTCGATCGGTGAGGGTTTCGTCGCGCGCGCCGACGCGGCCGACCGCGCGGTCGAGACGGATGCGGATACGGATGGAAGGACGTCGGACGCGCGCGCGCACCTGGCCTTCGTATCCGTACCCCTGCGAGAACATCAAGATCGGCGTCCCGCCGCTGCTGTACTTGAAGTACGCCCCCGGGGCGAGTCGAAAGACTTTGTACAGCACGAACATCTCGTCGCCCTTGGCCGCGACCTTGCCGCTCGGCCTGCCCTCGTCCATCTCTCGATACTGCAGCCCGCTGTCCATCGTGACCAGAACGCCCGGGTTCGCCTCCGCCTCGAGCTCCTCCCGCCTTCTCTCCGCCTCCTCCCTCGCGGCCATGATCTCGGCGTAGCTCCGCCGCGGCTTCTCCGACGCGCCGAGGCCGAAGAACCCTCCGTCGTTGGACGGCGGCGGCTTGTTCAGGCCGTACGCGAGCGCGGCGCGCGTCGGCGTCGTCGACCGCGAGAGCGCGATCGTTGTCGCGGCGATCAGCGTCCACGAGCGACGGTCGAGCTCGAGTCGTCGCTCGTCGCTCGCCTCCGCGCGGCGCGGCGGTCGCGGTGGTCGTGACGACGACGACGACGACGACGACGACGTTCCGGACTGGTCGCCGCGGCGCGCGGACGCGCGCGCGCGGAACGCGCACGACCCCGTCAGCGCGCGCATGGAACGAATGACAGTGCCGCGCGAAGGAAGAGATTTCTGTCGTCGTCACGTCGCGTCGTCGTCACACGTGTTCGCGCGCGGGGCGGGGCGCGGGATCGGCGCAAGGGGACGTCTCGACCGATGCGTCTCGCGAGGGTCCTCGCCGCGGCGACGACGACGTCGTCGTCCTCTGGGGCGTCGCCGTTTCTCGGCGTCCGCGGCGTCGCCGCGGCCGCGGCGTCTTCCGCGTCGTCGTCGTCGTCGACGACGACGACGACGCCCCCCGTGGTGGACGTGTGCATCGTCGGCGGCGGCGTCGTCGGCACCGCGCTCGCGTGCGTCCTGCGCTCGACGCCGCTGACGTCGCACCTCAGCGTCATGCTCGCGGACAGGGCGCCGCCGCCGAGCTCGGCGTGGCTCGACGCGAATCCGTCGCGCCATCCGGAGCCGAGGGTCAGCGCGCTGACGCCGCTGTCGATTCGATTCCTCCGCGACGTCGGCGCGTGGGATCGCGTCTCCAACGCGCGCGCGCGTCCGTTCAAGACGATGCAAGTGTGGGACGACGCGTCGAACGGGCACGTGCGGTACGACGCGCGCGAGGTGGGCGAGGACGCCCTCGGCGCGGTCGTGGAGAACGTCGTGATACACGCCGCGTTGCACGAGGCGGCGACGCGACTGGGCGTGATCTTTCCTCCGCCTTCGTCGCTCGCGTCGCTCGACCTCGGCGGCGACCCGGGGACGCTCGCGAGCGTCGAGTTCGAGGAGGAGGAGGAGGAGGAGAAGAAGAAGAAGAAGAAGAAGAAGAAGAAGAAGGCTGAGAACGGCGACGGCGGCGGCGGCGCGGACGGCGCGCGCGAGGCGCGGCGTCGCGTCCGCGCGCGGCTCGTCGTCGCCGCGGACGGCGCGTCGTCGCGGACGCGAACGCTCGCGGGCTTGACCGTCGCCGGGTGGTCGTACCACAGGAAAGCCGCGGTCGGGACGGTTCGCACGGCGATCGCGCACGACACGGCGTGGCAGCGGTTCCTCCCGAACGGTCCGCTGGCGCTGCTGCCGATCGTTGGGGAGGGGACCGGCGACGGGGAGGGAGGAGGGGACGAGGGTGCGGCGGGCGGCGGCGGCGGCAGCGGCGGCGGCGGCCTGAGCAACGTGGTCTGGACGACGACGAACGAGGACGCGGATCGTCTGTGCAAACTGTCCGACGAAGACTTCGCCGCGGAGGTGCACGCGGCGCTGCGCTCGGAGGGAAAGTACGCGGTGAAGACGTCGCCGGCGTGGGGGTCGGACGCCGCCGCCGCCGACGCCGACGCCGACGACGGCGGCGGCGCGGAAAACGTCGGACGCTCGGACTTCGACCGGCTTCAGACGTCGTTCGTGGACAGCCTCCTGAGACCGGCGTCGAAGCTCGCGCTGCGCGGCGTCGGCGTCGCCGCCGCGTCCCCCGCGCCGGCGTTCGAGCTCCCGCCCGCGGTCGTCGGCGCGAGCGGCGCGCGCGGCGCGTTCCCGCTCGCGACGCGGCTGGCCGGGCGGTACTCGCTTCGCCGGCTCGCGCTCGTCGGCGATGCCGCGCATCAGGCGCGTTCTATCTCACACTGGTCCCCATACGACCGCGTCGGCGTGGTGAACGCCGATACTTAAGGAGTTTTCCCGTCGTCTCTCTCCGCCTAGGGTCCCACGTTTTCAATCACCGACCTCGACGCCTTTCAACTCCGCTTCTGACGCCTATGACCTTCACCCCGACGTCGCTTTGTACGGAACGTCCCTCAGGTCCATCCGCTCGGCGGCCAGGGCGTCAACCTGGGGATCCGCGACGCGCGGCTGTTATCCGACGCGCTCGCGGCGGCGGCGGCCGTCGGCGGCGACGTCGGCGCGGAGTCCACGCTCCGGAAGTACGCGAAGGACGCGTCGGGCGCCAACGCGCCGATGATGGCGGCGTTGGACGCGTTACACCGACTCTTCTCCGCGCGGAGCCCGGCGATCGCGTTCGGGAGAGGGATCGGACTCGCGGGGGTGAACGCGTTCGCGCCCGCGAGGAAGATGATCGCGAGATACGCGATGGGAGGGGCGTGAGGCGGGGGCGGGGGTCGCGGGCGCGCGCGGTCGAAGTCAGTCGTCTTCGCTTTCGTTTAGGTTCATTTCCCGTGATGATGAAGGAAGTCACCGGGCCGCCGGGTCACAGGCGAACTTGATCTTCTGCGGCCCGCCTCCGAACATCGAGACGCCGCCTGCGTTCCCCGACTCGAGGTACTCTTTCAGATTTTTGAGGTCTTCTTTCGCGTATCACATCATGTCCGGGGTCACGCCGTCCTCTTTCAGCCTCTTCGGTCCGTCCGTCCCCGCGCGACCGTTCGGGTTCAACAGCTGTCGCCACGCGGTCGCGAGGTCTCGGAAAAATTTCGGCGCTTCGAACCCGCGGTCGATGAACCCGTCGAGCGCGTGATTCGGGCCCGTCACGATCGCGAGGAGGAGCCCGGTCATGAGCTCGAACCGCTTCCTCGTCCACGCTGCGGTCGTGTTCTTGATGTCCTCGAGCGCGCCGGTCAACACCGCCTCGAGCCTTTGCGCGTCGCCGGCGATGGTCCCGCTGTCGCACGCCGAAGATAGCCTACTGACGAGCCAGAAAAAGAGCATGCAGTCCGAGTCGATCGCGAACGGCGCCGTCCCCCCGTCAATGACCGTGATGTCTTCCGCCATGTCGACGCCGTTCACCATCATTTCCGGTTGGTCCGCGTACTCCTCCGGGTCTATTTCTTGAAGCGATCGTTAGCGGTCCATGAGCGCGTTGAACGTGTATTGGAGATTCGCGTACTGGCGAAGCAGCGTCTTCACGTCGAACGCGACGCGCTTCATCTCATCTTTCGGTTCGGGCTCGGGCTTCTTCGCGCTGTCGACCGGTTTCTTGGCCTTCGCGGGGGCTGCTTTCTTCTTCTTCGCGACGCCTCCGGCGGCGGGCCCGGTGGCGGTCTTCTTCTTCGGCGGCATGGGCGCGGGCGCGGGCGAGTGTATGGGGGCTCGTGAGTTAACAATTGAGTTTTGAATCTCAGATATTATTTTTCTCGGACGGATACTGATGAAACGGACTCGCGAACGACGCGACGCGCGCGCGCCGCACTCGGCCGAGCGCGACGACGAAGAATGTCGTCGAGACTCGTCGCCGCTCGCGCGCCGACGAGTCTCGCGTCGTCGTCGGCGTCGGCGGCGGCTCGTCGGCGTCGACACGCCGCGGCGACGGCGTCCTCTTCCACGTCGGCGCCGTCCGACGTGGTCGGCGACCGAGGCGTCTCGTCTCGCCGCCGCGCGCTCCTCGCCGCGCTCGCGCTCGCGACGGCTCCGGTTCGTCCTCCCCGGGCGTCCGCGGCGTCCGCGGCCGACGCGCTCGCGGACGCACGCGAGCTGTACGGCGCGGGCGGGCTCGAAGACGCGGAGGCGGTCCTCGAGCGCGCGGTCGCGGTCGCGGACGATCGCGATCTCGAAGCGTCGTCGAAAGCCGCGCTCCTAAAGCTTCTCGGCGACGTCCGCGTGGACGCGTACGCGTACGAGCGCGCGATGCGCGCGTACGACGCCGCGCTGGAGGCGGACCCGCGCGGCGCGAGCGCGAGCGGCGCGCACTTTGGCCGCGCGAACGCGCTCGAGGGCCTCGCGGCGGCGGCGGCGACGGCGGCGGCGGCGACGGCGTTGTACGAGTCGGCGATCGACGACTACGGCGCGTGTCTCGAGCTCGCCAAACCCGGCGGCGCGGGCCCCGCGGTGCCGCTGTTCGAGCGCGCGCAGGCGTACAAACGGCTGGAACGGTGGGACGACGCGCGGAGGGACTACGCCGCCGCCGCGGTCGCGTTCGCCGACGCGCGCGCGCGAAAGGAGCAAAAAATCGCCGAGGCGCAAGCCGCGTTCGCGACGTTCGAGACGGGCGACGTCGCCGCCGCGCGCCGCCAACTCGAAACGCTGAGCCGCCAGCTGTACTCCAGCGACGTGCGAGCCGCGCTCGTGGCGTGTTACTGGGTCGCGGGCGACGCCGCGCGCGCGGAAGATCTGTGGCTCTCGCTGTGCGAGATGGACGCGTCGCGGTGCGGCAATCGGAGAGAGTCGGAGTACGCGGACGCGGGCTGGTTGCTCGAGCGCAGGAAGTGGACCCCGGGGCTCGCCGCGGGGATGGGCGACTTTCTCGCGCTGAGGCCGGCCGCGGCGGCGGTCGAGTAGCGTGGTCGCGGGCGCGACATCTGTCGCGCGATGTGTTATAGTAGTCGCTCTAGCTGCTAGACTAGTCCGGTTTCACGTCGCATCCTCGGTCGTCGGCGCGCGAGGAAGGAGCCGCCGCTCGCGCGCGGCGTACCCGTCGCAGTCGCACGGCTTCCGCCTCTGTCGCTTCTTATTCCCGCACCCATCGGTCGCCGCCGCCACCGCCGCCGCCGCGTCGTCGTCCTGCGCGCGACACGCCGCGCAGCAGTACACGCCGGCGGCGGCGCACGACGCGCACGCGACGAGAATCGCGTGACACCCCGACCCTCGACACTTCCCCAGCGCGTCGCTCTCGACGCCGCAGCCGTCGCACCACGCGGACGGCACGACGTCGTCCGTCACCCGGACGGCGCCGCGCTTGTCGAACACGAAGTTGCAGCCTTTAAACGCGCTGCGCTCGCGCCCCTCGCCGTCCGCGACGTCTCGCTGAGTAAGACACAAAATTAGTTCACCGGTCAGTTGAAAGGGACCCACGCGATCAAATACAGTATTGAAACCGAGCGATGGGTGAAAAACGTTTGTATAGAACGCACCTGATACGCGACGATCCCGCCTCGGAGCTTCTTCACCGCCCTCGGCGCCCTCGGCGCGCCGTCCGGCCCCGGCGCGAGCCCCGCGAGGTACTCCGCGGCCTTCTCGCACCGTATCCCGCCGGTGCAGTACATGTACACCTCCTTCCCGGCGACGAGGTCCGGAGGACACCGCGAGTCGAAATATTCCGGGAGCTGTCCGAATCGTCGCAGCGGCAAGAGACGCGCGCCGTCGAAGTGCCCGACGCGAGACTCGTACCAGTTCCGCACGTCCAACACGACGACATCGGCGTCGTCGGCTTCGGCGTCGGCGGCGGCGGCGGCGGCGGACGTCGTCGCGGAGGACGCCAGAACGGCGCGGTGGAAGTCGAGCGGGTCGACGAACGCGATCGGACAACCGCGCGTCGGCGGCGGCGGCGGCGGCGTCGCGGCGGCGGCGTCGTCGGCGGCCTCCTCTCGCTCTTCCACCCTCCTCCTCCTCCCCGATCGATCTCGGGCCCCTAGTTGTAGCGGCGCGCCCTCGAACGGGACGATCTCCGGGACTAAGCGAACGCTGAGCGCGTCGAACAGGTGCGCGCACCCCGGCGTGGGCTTCCAGTCGATGGACCTCGCGGCGTCGCGCAGCCCTTCGTCCTCGTCGTTCTCGCACGCGCGTCTCAGCGCGTCGATCCCCGCGATCGACCCCGCGGCGGTGCCGTTGATCCCCTCCGCGCCCACGCGAATCTTCCCCGTCACGCCGTGCGCCTCGCACGTCGCTCGGAGGCGGTCGACGACGCCGGACGGGTCTCGCAGTCTGCGATAGGCGAAGAAGAGCACGATCCTTCCGAGCGACGCGTCGCACGTCTCGCAGCCGCGGCCGAGGACGCTCGGCGCGGGGAGGACGTCGGACTCGCCGCGCGGGAGCCGCCGGCCGTTCACCGGCACCGCGGCGACGCCGACGTCGCCCTCCTGCATCGCGCGGGGCGCCGTCGTTGTGACGGACGAAGGCTCGCTCTCGGAGCGAACGACGACGAGAACGCGAACGAACAACTCATCGATCAGGTTTTCCTTTCACCGCCACACACATCTCGCGCCGCCGCCGCCGCCGCCGCCGCCGCGCGCCCGGACGCCGCGCCCCTCGCGGCCGCCCCGGCCGCGATGGCGCCTCGACGAACGTACCAACAAGAGATGGCGTTCCTGTCGAGAGTCTCCGCGAACCAGTGGATCGTGAACGAGGGGTTCGTTCCCAACATGCGCGTGCCGGGGACGTTCTACGTGAACAAACACCTCGAGACGCTCATGTTCGAGGAGCTGCAGCAGCACGTCGACAGCGGCGGCCACGGCGGGTTCCTCCCCGCGGTGAAGCAGCTCGCGAACGTCGCGTGCTTGCCCGGGATCGTGGGCAAGTCGATCGCGATGCCGGACGTCCACAGCGGGTACGGGTTCTGCATCGGAAACGTCGCCGCGTTCGACATGAGCGATCCCGCCGCGGTGGTCTCGCCAGGAGGCGTCGGGTTCGACATCAATTGCGGCGTGCGCGTCGTGCGGACGAACCTCATGGAGAGCGACGTCGCGGACGTCAAGGAGAAGCTCGCGCAGGCGCTTTTCGATCACATCCCGGTGGGCGTCGGGTCGCAAGGGATCATCCCCACGTCCGCCGCCGGGTTGGAGTCGGCGCTGGAGATGGGGATGGACTGGTCGCTGCGAGAGGGGTACGCGTGGGCGGAGGACAAAGAGCACTGCGAGGAGTACGGGCGGATGCTCACCGCGGACCCGAACAAAGTCAGCGCGCGCGCGAAGAAGCGCGGGCTCCCGCAGATGGGGACGCTCGGCGCGGGGAATCACTACGCGGAGATTCAAGTCGTGGATGAGATCTTCGATGCGCACGCCGCCGAGAAGATGGGCGTGGACGCCGTCGGGCAGGTCATGGTGATGATCCACAGCGGCAGCAGAGGGCTCGGTCATCAGGTCGCGACGGACGCGCTGACGGAGATGGAGCGCGCGATGGCGCGGGACGGGATCGAGACGAACGATCGACAGCTGGCGTGCGCGAGAATTAACTCGACGGAGGGCCAAAACTATCTCAGCGCCATGTCGTGCGCGGCGAACTACGCGTGGGTGAACCGGAGCAGCATGACGTTTCTGTGCCGGCAGGCGTTCGCGAAGATGTTCGACTCCACCCCGGACGACTTGGACATGCACGTGGTGTACGACGTGTCGCATAACATCGCGAAGATCGAAGAGCATATGGTGGACGGAAAGTTAAAGACGCTTCTGGTGCATCGAAAGGGGAGCACGCGCGCGTTCCCGCCGCATCACCCGCTGATACCGGTGGACTATCAATACACCGGTCAGCCCGTGATGATCGGCGGGACGATGGGGACGTGCTCGTACATCCTCACGGGGACGCAGAAGGGGATGGACGAGACGTTCGGGAGCACGTGCCACGGCGCGGGGCGGGCGCGGAGCCGGAACAACTCGAGGAACAAGCTCGACTACGCCGAGGTTCTGGAGAACTTGAAGACGAAGGGGATATCCATACGCGTCGCGTCCCCGAAGCTCGTCATGGAGGAAGCGCCGGAGAGTTACAAGGACGTGACGGAGGTGGTGAACACGTGTCACGACGCGGGGATCTCGAAGAAAGCGGTGAAGCTGCGTCCGATCGCCGTCGTCAAGGGATGACCGCGGCGACGACGACGGGGTCGTCGTCGCGCGCGATGCACTACACGTTGTTGTACGCGCTGTTAGCTAGCTCTACGATAGAAAGAATTCTCTCTGACTCTCTCTCTCTCTCTCTCCTCCTCTCTCTCCTCGAACGCCGCGCGCTCGGCTCAGCTCTCCTGCTCCGTGTCCAACGCGAAGTCTCCCAGGTGCGTCGTGACCTCCGTCAACGACGTCAGCGCGTCGATCGCGGCTCTCTGCTTCTCCGTCACCGGCGGCTTCACGACGTCGAGCCACGCGCCGTCCTCGCTGACCCCCCACCCGCGCGCGGCGCACCGCGCGATCGCGTCCGGCGCGCTTGTCCCCAGCGCGGCCGCGACGTGCGCGACGCTCGCGGTCGTGTACGCGCGAGCGATGAGATCTAGCGCGCGCTCGCGCGCGTCGCTCGCGATGGCGCGGACGATCGGCGCCGCGCGCGCGCTCCACGACGTGCCGTCCGCGCGCGCGTGGAGCCCCGCGAGGTCGCGGCGGCGCAGCGCGTCCAGAAGCGCTTTCGCGGCGACGAGCTCGGCGTCGGACGCGCGCAGGGGTTCCGGGACGCGGCACCACGCGAGGTGCGCCTCGACGAGCGCGCCCGTCGCGAGGTGGCCGAGGATCTGAAGCGCGCGCGGCCAATCCTCTGGGATCGGGCCCGCGCACGCGAGCTCCGCGTCGTCGCACGTCGCGCCGACGAGGCAGTGCGCGGCGGCGTCGCCGCTCGCGAGGAGCGCGTCCACGCGCTCGTTCACCGCCGTCGCCATGGCGCGCGCCGCGTTGTGAGACGAAAGACGCGACTCGCATCACCGCAGTGGCTTGAGAAACTTATTTTTTTCGTCGGTCAAAAAAATAAATTTAGGACGCGTCTCCCGACCCCGCCCGCCGCTAGTGCCCGCCGCAGACCCATCGCAGGGTCCCGCTCATCGCCTTGATCTCCTCCACGTCCTCCTCCCGCGCGCTCCTCCAGCTGCACTGACAACAGTACGCGCGTCCGCCGCGTCGCGTCGCCGTCGCCGCGGACAACTTCCCCGCGTCCGGGTAGGCGTTCCGGAAAAACATGTAGTCCACGCCGTCTCGCCACGCCGCGCGCTCGAACGACAGGACGTCGAAGTCGCACCCGGTGCATCGCATCGCGTCGCAGGCTTTCGCGTCGAAGTGCGAGGAAGGGCCGCCGAGGGGGAGGCGCGCGCCGGCGATGGACGGGCACGGCGCGCATCGAACGCCGCCGGCGCGACCGCCGCCGCCGACGGCGACCGCCGCCGACCGCTCGGACCCCCGGTCCGCGACGCGCGGCGCGATCGGAATCGGTCGTCCCGACGGCGGCCTCGCGCTCGTCGACGCGCCGGAGCCCAAGACGCCGTCGATGTCCGCGAGGAGGTCGTCCACCTCGCTCCGCGCGCGCGTCAACGGAGACTTTCCTCCCCGCTCTCCTCCTCCTCCTCCTCCTCCTCCTCCTCCTCCGCCCGCCGCGACGCTCGGTCCCGCGCCCGGGCCGCGTCCGCCGCCGACGTACGCGCTCGAAGACGCGACCGGCGCGGAGTGCCGCGCGGCGAGAGGCGCGCGCGCGCCGGACGACGTCTTCCCGACGCCCGCGGCGTCGAGATCGCTGAGCAGCTCGTCGAGCTCGTTCATATCGTCTTTTTATATGATGCGCTCGCGTCGATCGACGCGCGCGACGTTTACGTTTCGCGCGCGCGTCTCTCCTCTCTCCTCCCCCGCCCTCGCCGCCGCCGCACCGCGCGCGTCCGCGTTCGCGCGGCGCCGACGAACGCCGAGGAGCGCGCGAACGCCGCGAACGCCGAGGAGGCGCGCGTCGCTCTGGTAGACCGCGGCGATCGTCAACATTTTTCGTTGAGTGTACTGCGTCCATCTCCATCGAGCAAAAGTCGAACGCGATCTCGCGGCGCCGACGCGTGCGTATCGTATCGTGTGTTATCGAACTCTACTAGGTTGTCTACTTACTCGCACCGCACGCCACCCTCGCGTCGGCGCCGTTCTCTCCCCCGCGCGCGACGACGCCGGCCGACGCGCCGGCCGCGCGTCGCCTCGGTCGCCGCTCGGATCGGCACGTCAGTCCGCCTGGTCGAACAGGTAGTTGGCGGCGATCTCTTCGTTTTTATCGCACGCGAAAAACGCCTCCGCGGCGAGCTCGAACTCAAACCCCAACGCGGCCAAACGGTCGATCGCAGCCTTCTCTTCCTCCGTGATGACGATCTGCTGCCCGCCGCCGCCGCCGCCGCCGTCCTCGCCGCCCATCCCCGCGGCGAGGTTCTGAAGCGCGTCCGCGGGCGCGGGCTCGTTCAAGAGCTGCAAAAACTCCTCCTGGTTCCCGTTGATGAGCTGGTACAGCTGCGGGTTCTGCCGCTGCAGCTCCGCGAGCATGGGCTGGAGGATCTGAGGGTTCCCCTGGACCATCGCGCGGATCGCTTGGAACTGCGGGTTCTCGCGGAGAAAGTCGAGGATCCCGCCCTCGCCGTCTCCGCCGCCGCCGCCGCCGGGGAATCCCTCGGGGAACAGATTCAGCGGGCTCGTGTTCGGTCCGCCGCCGTCGCTCGGCGCGGCCGCGGCCGCGCCCGCGGCCGCGCCCGCCGCGCCCGCCGCGCCCGCCGCGCCCGCCGCCGCGGGCGCGGGCTCCGGCGCCGCGGACTCCGGGATGCCCGTCAGGAGATACTCCACCGCTCGGTCCGGGTTGTTAAACGCCGCGCGTAGCGCCTAAAGCGATGATATCGGGGTGGAGTTGAAAGGCGTCAGTTGGAGTTGAAAGGCGCCGAGGGCGGGGATTGAAAGCGAGGGGTGGGCGGAGAGATGCGCCGGGCAAAGTCCTTAAGGATCGGCGTTCACCACGCCATTGGGGTCGTATGGGGACCAGTGTGAGATAGAACGCGCCTTCACGCACTGCTCGCGTTCGAACCCCATGGACATCATGTTCGTGAGCGTCTCCTCGAGCGCCGCGCCGGTGACGAGGCCGTCGCCGGCGGTGGCGGCGGCCGCCGCCGAGGGGGTCGACGCGGCCGGGGTCGCCGCCGCCGCCGCCGGAGCCGGGGCCGCCGCCGGAGCCGCGGCGGGCGCAGCCGCCGGGGCCGCG